TTTTGATCTCATAAATACTACAGTGTATGCTGCTGCTCTCAATGCTTACTCACATTTAATCTCCATAACATCCCCATGATGATACAAATGGTTAAGCTTTAGTTTATGGAGATTCGAGTAATCAATAAAATGTTCAGCTTCAGCTTTTGTTTGTTTCTTTTGGGTTCTGGGTGTCAACCTGAGGGCTTCATGCAAGCTAAGTGTGTTCTCTACCACTGAGCAATGCCACTGCGTCCCCCCCAAATTTAGCAATTTACTTAATGCTTCCCACTTCCAAATTGGAGCAGAGCTTTGAACTGGGCTCTTGTGGTACTCAGATTCTTTGCTTTGATGTTAGCTAACTTATTTTCACATAACTGTCTCTGCCACTCTCTGAGGACTTGTCAGTATATTTCTGAGGATTGGGGTATATTTCTGCTGTCTAGGAGTATATCTTTTACTTTTTAAAAAAATGCCCTCCCAGTGATCAATAAATATCTGAATTTGTTTCAGTGGCGGAGTTGGGTTTTTACCCTTGGGCATCTAAACATAGACCTGCTGCTAAGTTCCAAAGATGCATTAATTGCATGCATACTACTAACACAAATGAAAATAAGCATGGCAGCGCATGTCCCAGGACCCCTAATAAAAACAATCTAGAAATATGAAATCAAACACTCCAGAATCAGGAACATTTTGTGTATTAACATGATGCCACAGTCAAAAAAGTCCACACCAAAAAAAACAAAACAAAAAAACCAAAATCAAACCAAACAAACCAAGTCAAACAAAACTAAAACAACACACACACACACACACACACACACACACACTAGTTCATGTGAAAAAATAATCTAGAATATTTCATAAGATTTCCTTCTGGCTACAGATCAGAAGCTGTACATGCAACACATATGAATTTTATGTTCAGATGTAATAGGTTTCCATCTCTGAGATGTGCCTTGTATATTCCAGATGTGAAATCCAAAGCACTTCTGATATCAAGCATTTTGGATAAAGGATAGTCACCCTGTGCGTCTTTCCTTATATAGAACATCTGCATGTGCACAGAGATGTCTGTCTTTATAAAACATTCTAACATAGTTCCTTAATTAGATACCACGCTATTATCAAACTGAATACATCAGTGAGGCACATATTGCTATGGTCCCCATTTTAGAGAAGAGAAAGGGAGTCTCACGTTCTTAAATGGGCTGCCCTAAGTTGTTCAGTTAAGAGAAAAAGGGATCTGGGGGTGGATGAGAACTTGGGGTTAATTTTGCTTTTGACCATAAGCACCTTCAAGCTGTAAAAAGAGTTGTTTATCGTAGTGTCTGCGCAGTGTCGGAGGTGCCGTGGGTTAAGTCACAGAAAAGCAACGGTCATAGAATCAAGTTTGTTAAATTGAGAAAAAGCAAGTGAACTGGGGAGCAGCTTGCTTTGGGTGTTAGTGAGGACATGTGCAGGCTGGTCCTGAGGGGGTGGCCAGGTGTGAGCAGCTCCCAGGTCTCAGGATAGAGCTGTGGGCCAGGGAAAGGCAGAGGGAGCTTTTTGTTCTCATGTGTTGGCTCCCATCCCAAGCTCGTGGCTCCAGCTGCCTTTTAGCCTGGAGACCTGTATCTACCATCTGATCTTCCCACTGCCCACCTTTGTGTCTTGCAAGAGTCAGTCTTGGAGCTCTGCGCTCTCCCAGCCCTCTGCAGGGCTTGTGTCTCCATTGTATCCTGTTACAGCATTATCTCCTTGTCAGTGGCTTCAATTTTCTCTTTTGTTAACTTGGGATCAACCTCAGTCTAAGCATACTAAATGGGGAGAGAGAAAAGAGAGCGGGAAAGAAGGGAGAGAGACAAGACAGGATATAGCTTGCAAGGATTTGTCTCCGAGGAGCCTACCTTCCTACTCCTTCCCACCCTCTGTTTCCATTACCCCCAATAGTCTGCCAGATTATGAACTCATGGGTGGCCTAACCCATTGGTTAGAATCCCCATGACCAAATTACTTTCTTCAAGCCCCACTTCTATTCAGATTTAGTGACCAAGCCTTCAAATCCAAACCACAATACTTCCTTTATATTATATATAAGTTAAACTTTATCATTGCCATGTATATTTAGTACAAATTAATGTATCATCTGTGTTTTTGTTTTTTAAACTTTCATTTGCATTAGTGTTTTGCCTGTATGCATGTCTGTATGAGGGTGTTGGATACCCTGGAACTGGCGTTACAGACAGCTGTGAGCTGCCATGTGGGTGCTGGGAATTGAACCCAGCTCCTCTGGCAGAGAAGCCAGTGCTCTTAACCTCTGAGCCATCTCTCCAGCCCCACTATCTGTGGTTTTAACATCCACTGGGATCTTGGAATATCTCTCTAGAGGATGGGGAGACGATGGCACTAGGCACTAAGTTCTTAGATTATGACTTAGTGTTGTTCCTTGGTTTCCCAGCATTGCCCAGGGCTGTACCTGTTTGCTAAAGCACTGATGGCCATATAGGAAGCTCTTCTAGGGAGGTACCAAGGTAATCTCTCTATTATTGGGGACTTCCTGAGGGAGGTGAAGTTTGGAACCTTTACTCAGCATCAACCACAAGCACCAATAGAAGCATCTAGCTCACTTCTTTTGAGCATATAAAACATTTTTATTTTCATCTAGTTCTATTCAAGAGGAAATGTTACTTTGTTGTTGTTATGATTTTGTTTTGTTTTGAGACAAAGTTTCACTCTGTAACCCTGGCTGGTCTGGAACTCACTATGTAGGTCTAGGTTGGTCTCAAACTTGTAGCAATCCTACCACCTCCACCTTCCAAGTGCTGGGGTTACTGTCATGTACGGCCATATTCTGTGGAAAATATTAATTATTGGCTTTTTAAAAATTAAACAAGTTATTACTGTGTGGGAGGGAGTGTTTGTTGGGTTTGGTACGGTGCACACATGGGAATCAGAAGATGACCCTGAGGGGTTGGTTCTCTCCTTCCTGCTTGATGGGGGGAGGTCTGAGGATCAAAGTTATGTCTCCGCCCTTGCACAGCTAATGCCTTTACTTGCTGAGCCACTTTCCAGGCCTTTATATTGGTTTTACGGTGGTGGTGTCTTACCATGTAGCCTTGGCTGGCTTGGAACTTGCTGTGATTGTCACACTCTCCCTCTCCAATGCTGGCATGACAGGTGTGTGCCTCCACACCCAGCAGGAGATAAAATGGTCTTTTAACAGTTAAAAGTGAGTCCAAGGTAATCTCCTTTGATGCCTTCCCATGCTTCAAGCTTCCTTGGACTATTTGCTAATTTTCCTTGGCTTCAGTACTCTCCTGGATAGTCATTACTTTTTAACTTGTCTCCTGCCTCTTCCTTTTTCTGTACTTGGGGCAGTAATCTCCAGGTAGTGTGAGACTTTCAATGGCCCTTTGTTAAGTATGCCAGAGCACAAGTGATGTGCCTACTTTTGTCTTTCTCTCTCCCTCTTCCTCTCCTCTTAACTCCTCCTCTCCTCACTCTTCCTTCCTCTGCTTCCCCTCAGGGAACTGGAGGTTGAACACCAGACCTCCATAAGGCTAGGCAGGGCTCTAACACAGAGGTGCACTACATTCCCAGCCATCCTTTGAGATGTTTTCTTTTCTGGTAACTGATCCACTCTGGTCAGATAGGTCACAAACCTTGACATCATGTCCGTCACTCTCACGGAACTACCGAATGCAACCAATTCTTTTTTTACAGTGTAATTGGTAGTTTCTTGTCCCAACCACCTGGTCCCAAATAACCGACTCAAAGGCTCAATGTGAATTATAAATGCTGGGCCAATGGCTCAGGCTTATTATTAGCCAACTCTTACATTGAAATTAATCTGTGTATTGCCTCGTGGCTAGTGGCTCTACCTGTCCTCTAACATGTCCTGCTTCCTGGGCGGTTGGCCCCGTCTCCCCTGATTCCTCCCTCCTTCTTCCCATCATTTTCAGTTTGGCTTTCCTGCCCAACTTCCTGCCCAGTTACTGGCCTGTCAGCTTTTTATTAACCAATGAGGGCAACACATATTCATGGTGTAGAAAAGGACTTCCACAGCAACCAGAGTGTTCAGAGCCCGGTCTCCTAACCACCGTGCCCATGCTGCCTTTGTTTGCTTATTGATTTGTGTGTCTGAAGCTTGTTTAGCATCACCTGTGTATAAGACGCACCCCGGGGCATTTGGAATACAGCAGGAAACATTGGCAGAAAAAGATCAGCCTCCAAGAGCTGAATTTCCAAGTGCAAGGGGAGACACCGAATAAACAGCATACTAAATAAACAACACGCTAATAAACTAATAATAAGCAACGCGTGTTAGAAGTCGAATGCTATAGGTAAGGCATCTGAGGGTGTGAAGCTGTAGCTTTGAGTGGGATGGTGAGGGCAGGCTCCCTGAAGTATTACAGAGACAAGTGAAAAGACAGCCTAGGGACTGTTCCAGCCAGATCAGAGATCGTCCACTCTTCCGCTGGGACGGCGTGAGGGTTTGGTGGCAAGGGAGGAAGCCACTCTAACTGGGCCATAGACCACCTCATCCTTTTCTACCTCTGAAAGCCCTCTTTCTGCCTCCTTATTCTTGTCTTTATTATGGACACATTTCCAAAATGCTCACGAGAAACAGCTGCCGGGTCAAAACCTAACTCAGAAGCCTCCGCCTGTCATTCCCACTTAAACTAGCACTTCATCTCCCTCGGTCCTCTGTGTCCCAAAGTCACAGGGCGTTGCCTCATGCCCATGCCCCTCTCTCTCCGTTAGAATCGTCCTTGTTGAGGGCAGTGTGATCCTGAGCCTTTGCACATCCCCTGGGTCAGAATCCATCCCTTTGAAGGGTTCCGGGTAGGGAGGCTTCTGTCCACAGAACACATGCGTGGCCCTGGTTGTACCGTAGCTGCTCAGTGCCCGTTTGGCTCTTGTGCCAGGTTGGAAGCCCCCTGGGTCCCCTTTGCGTCTTCGGACCCTGCTTGTGCTTTGAAAGGCTTCTGGAATGGCTTTCCCATTCAGCAGGCTGCTCCTATTCTGTCTTGCAGATTGAAGCGCTGGTGAAGGACATGCAGAACCCAGAGACGGGAGTCAGAATGCAGAACCAGAGGGTCTTGGTCACCAGCGTCCCTCACGCCATGACAGGTGATGTGTCTTTCTGGGCTGGGTTGTGACTCAAAACAAAACCCACAGGGAGGTTGATAAACTTGAGCACACATGCTGCCCTGGTTGGTTGTTTATTATTATTATTATTGCTTGTTTGTTTTCTTAACTTTGTCAATTTGGCTTAAGCCAGAGTTAGGCAGGAATAAGAGACTCAAGTTAGAAAACATTTCCATTAGATTTCTTGTAGGCAAATGTATAGGGCATTTTCATGTTTAGTGATTGATGTGGGCAGGCCCAGCCCATGGAAGGGGACTCCCCCCCAACCCCCCCAGGTCCTGAGTTTTATAAGAAACCTGGCTGAGAAAGCCATGAGGAGCAAGCCAATGAGCAGCATTGGCTTCTGCTCTAGTTCCTGCCTCCAGGTTCCTGCCTGGGCTTTGCTCAGTGGACTATGACCTGAGATATATAAACCAAATAGACCCTTTCCTTCCTAAGATTTTATTTATTTATTTATTTAATTTATTTTTATCACAGCAATAGAAGCCTAACTAAGACACCTGCCAAAGTACCCGTAGCCTGTGTTTATAAGTAAAAGTTTCTTTCTGTTACATGCGATCTACAGCCGCTTTGTCATTCCAGTTGCAAAGGTGAAATACATGGCTGTGCTCAGACTGCATTGGGCTTACAAAACTGAAATATTTACCATGGTTTGGCCTGGAAACCAAGGCTTTAGTCTTCGGTCACCCTTCTGATTCTTACTTAGACCCTTCTGAGCTTTCCCATGTGGATGGAGTGCCTAGTTCCTCCTCGAATGAAGGTTTAAAGATATTCCAGAGCATCACCTGGGGAGAGTGGTGTGTGTGTGTGTGTGTGTGTGTGTGTGAAGGGGATGTTGGTGTGAACATAAGAATGCATTTTGCTTGCTCTATTACCCATGATTTGTGACAGGATTTTGTAGTAGAGATGTTATGGCAAAGCCTGGTGCCTGCAGAAGCCGATTGCTTCTCTGAGCCAGGGATTTGTAAACCTGTACCCCTGACCTTACCCATGACCTGACTGTTTTTGTCTCTCCTTCTTTCCTCTCCTCTCTCTGCAGGCATATGCAAAGGGTCAACCTTAGTTACTGTTCCTCAGGTGTCATGCACCTGTTTTTTGAGACAGGGTCCCTAACTGGCCTTGACCTTGCCTGTCTGTCTCCCCAGCCTTCCCACTACCACACTCGGCTTTAAAAACAAAACAAAACGAACATCCTCCCTAAAATGGGTCTTAGGAATCAAACTCAGGTCCTCAAGCGTCCGTGTACCATGAATAATAACCCAGAGTTAGATATTGGGGTTAAAGCTGAAGATCATAGAAACAAAGCTGTCAAACTGCCAGGGAGCTCTAACCTCTACCAAGACTGAGGAGATCCTGCCTTCAACATGGCTGGAGACTAATTGCCAGCTCTGACAGCCTGCTCCTGTCTTCTGTACCTCTCTAGTGCTGGGATTAAAGGCATCAGCTCAGTTTCTCTTTTAGACTGATTAACTCTCACGTAGTGGTAGTGGCCTTAAACTCGGAAGAGGTCCATCTGCCTCTGTCTCCTGAGTGCTGGGATTAAAGATGTACACCACCACCACTCAGCCTCTATGACTAACTTGTGTGGCTGGCTTTTCATTCTGATCTCCAGGCAAGCTCGATCAGATCACAAACAATATAGCACTGCACTTGTGTGTGAAGCACTTCAACAACTGAGGGGTCCCCAGCACCTTAAGTGTGCATTCTTCATATAAGGTGCCCTCGTGTTGGAGAGAAGGGCGGTCTCCTGCCGTTACCCTTCTGATCGCTTTGGATGTGCCCCTGCTTAAAAACAAGATAAACAAGCAAACAAACCACCCACTAGGGTGATCATAAGTACCTAGCTATCTTACAGGCACTGACATCCATGGGGACGGGTAGAGCACTGGTGGGCGATCTTACCACTCATCAGGCATCTGCCGCATTCGTGCCTGAACCTGAGATGTTTCTCTCAGGCAGGGATCGCCATTCACGTGCTACAGTGGTGTTACAGTGAGCAACCCCGGATGGGAGCAATGCCTTGTCAAGGGTTCCTCCAGCTTAAGTAACGGGAGACCCACTCTGACTTGTTGGGACAAAATAGGAATTGATTGGAGTGCTTCAGAGCAATTCAGGGACACATGTGAGAGTGGGACTCGGAGTGGCCCTGGGCATCCAAAGGGTGGAGGCCTGGGGTAGGATTTGAGGTGGGGGTATCTCTGTTCTTCTCATGGTTGTAAGAGACAGCCGTCCCTGAAGGCATCCCGGTAGCCTTCATTTCTGCCTTGAATCTGCTAATTCTGGGCTAGAGGACCCTTCAGTGGGAGGGTCCTGTCTTGCCCTTTGCTAACCCCAGTGCCTGGAGTGGCTGTGTGGGTAAGGGTGCCTAACAAAAGCCCACTGACTATGTGAACTGGTTCTGAGTTAGCTGTACAAGGAGCCCTAGACAGGAGTGGGACACCTGGGACTTAATCCCCCAAGTGCCCTTCTCCAAGTCCTCTCATTTTCTCACTTTAAAGTGGCAGCAGAAAGCCCTGTCTGAGAGGAAGGTGACAGGGATAAAAGGGGCCGTGGTGCTCAAGGGCCCAGCATGTGGTGGCTGATTCACAGCTTGTGCAAGTTGGCAGTTTCTTCCCCTGTGTCTGCCAACACCTGGGATAAAGTTGGGGTGGGTATGACAACCCCTGTCTTCTAGATGGAGTTATAGATATAGAAAAAAGTCCAAGAGGGCTGTAGCTGTGGCTCGGTGGTACAGCTCTTGCCTCACAGGTGAGAGGTCCTAGGTTCAATCCCCAGTATTGAAACAAGGGAGAGGTTAAGAACTAGTCCCCACAGCACGGAGACCATTCATGAGTGGCCTTGAATTTGAGTCTGGCTTTGAGACTTACACTCTATCTTATCCTATGTCATTGCGTGTGTGCTTTCCTCCCTTAAACATGGGTTACATGTGGTTCCTGAATTTGGGAGAGGCTACCCACCTGCCTTGTCTTCACCTGAGTTCCACCTTCTGTAGAAACAGATCATAAGGGAGGAGCCCCCATCCAGCCAAGGTAGAGCCAATGACGGCAAATGTACATTCAGCATCTTCGGCGGCAGGGACCAGAGCTTCCTGGAACGGTCAGCTGTGGAGCTTGAACAGCCAGCCTGCCATACTGCCAGCACAGTCCCTGTGGTGCAGATGCTAGTGGCACCATAAATTCATTTGGTCTATTTCAGGAAGCAGTTAAGTGGATGAGGAAGCCTTGGGCTCCTCAGTGGAGAGTGCTAATCAGTCTGATGTCTGCCTGGGGCCGTCTTGCAAGCTGCATGCCTTTAAAGAGAGGCATGGAGTGGAATGTCAGTTGACATACACAGGCCTAGGATTTTAAGCAGGATTTTAGATGAAGCATTTTGCTTTGGAACAGCCAACTGGGGGTGAGTCAAAGCTAAGAGTCACAGGAGGTGAAGATGCTAGAAGCCGCATTGGTGGTGTGTGGGTACTAACAGAGACAATGGTTGGTTATCCATCTCAGCCTACACAACACATAAGAAAGAGGTACAGGTTGTTCTTACTTAACCACGACTGTGTCAGATCATTAAGTCCAGGGAGTACAAGTAGCTGATAATGGACCTCTTTGGAAGGCTACAAAAGGAATGTCCTATCCCTACCTCCAAAGAGGGAAGTGTCTTGGGCTCTGACCTTTGGCATGCTTTGTGGGCCAGTTCCCATGCAGGTAGGGACCAGACTCTGCTTTTGGTTATCAGGTTGAGGATGTAGAGAAAGTGGCCAGTGGCATTTACCAGGTAGTGTCTGAGTTGGGAGGTTTGGTGCTGGGCACCTTGTTTTCCTTTGGAGTTGTCACCGTCCTCTTCTACAAGAAGCATCTGGCTACGAGGCTAGAGGCTCCGGGCTGAGAAATGAGCTCAGAACTCCCACAGTAGCCCTGGACTACCCTGGACTTATTTTGTCTCTATCCTTAGATAAACCTAAATGCTCTGGGATGCGTAGCTGGGTGCATTGTCTCTCTTGACTCATCTCTGCCTGCCTCTCCTGCCTTTTGTTTCACAATCTTAGCTCTGTGCAGTGCCCCTCCAGAAGCTAAGATTTGCAGGGCCTGAGGCAAGAGTACAAAGGGAGCCCACATTCTAGTTCCCAAAGTTTTGTATCAACCTCCAAAACATTACTAAAATAGGTTCCCTCCTCCACTGTGATAAAAGTGCCTTCGCACCAAACTCAAGGTTTGAATTTGGAATTCTCTGGCTCCTGACTTGAATGTAGGGGAACCATCCCTGCCTTCAACCCTTGTCCAATTCCCAGACTTTGTTTTGGTTCACTCTTGTGGGTCCAAACTCCATTCAGAACCCTCGCTGGCCTTGGACCTATTTTGTTTGTTTGTTTTTCTTTCCCTATTTGGACTTAGTCTGTTTCCTGTTTAATTGATGAGTGGTGATCTTTAAATGACTCCGTAGTAAAAAGATAAAGACAGCAAGCAAGGTAAAGACTGAGTGTGGAGATGGAAACGAGAGTTGTGAGTTCAAGACGCCATCGAGTATACAGAGTGATTTAGCGCTCAGCCTGGGCAACTCAGTAAGACTCTGCCTCAAAACAAACACGAACCTACAAATGAACAAAGGGCAGTGTGTGGTGGAGATTAAGCCGCAGATCTGGTGGGGTCAGGTTGCAGTGGATCTGAACTGTTCTGAGTGAATGGGTGAGTGAATGGGAGGGGTCTCTCAGGGACAGGGTCACCACCAAGCATGAAGGACACACAAGGTGGAGGAGAGCATGGTGATCCTGCGCTATGTGAAGAGGGTTTGACATTGATGAACTAACTACGCCTCTGTTTTGCAGGAGGTGATGTTCTACAATGGATTATCCAGCGGCTTTGGATCTCTAACCTGGGTGAGACCTTGGCCTGTGCAGTTACAGATTGCTCATGTATGCAGCACTACAGGGGAACAGAGGAAACTCTTTGGGGGTCCAGTACCTAGCTCCAAAATAAAGACATGGAGACTTTTTCTTACTTATGAATGCTGGCCCTTAGCTTGGGTTGTTTCTAGCCAGCTTCTCTAACTTAAATCATCCTGTTTCCTTTTAACTACATTTTGCCTCTGGGCTTTATTTTGTATATCTTTCTTTCCTTCTTACTCTGTGACTGTCTGTGTAGCTGGGTGGCTGCCCCTGGCATCCTTCTCTCCTCCTTTTCTCCATCCTCCTCCTTCTCTCTTCCTCAAGCCCAGATTTCTCCTGATATTTATTTCCACCTGGCAGCCCACCTATGCTTCTCTCCTGCTTAGCTATTGGCCGTTCAGCTCTTCATTAGACCAATCAGGTGTTTTAGACAGGCAAGGTAACACAGCTTTACAGAGTTAAAAAACATAACATAGAAGAGTGCAACATGTCTTGCATCATCAAACAAAGATTCCATAGTGTAAACAGATGTAACACATCCTAAACTAGTATTCCACAACAAAGGAGGCTTTACAGAGGTCACTAAGAAATGTATGCCTCAACTGGTGAGACAGGACCTTCATGAATGAAACAACCAGAGTCAAAAGCAAAGGTGAGGGCTGGGGAGATGGCTCAGTGGGTAAAGTGCTTGCTGTACAAGCGTGAAGACCTGAATTCAAACTCTTAGCACTCATGCAAAAAGCAGCACAACTCTGTAAACCCAGCCCTGGGGGTTGGAGGTGAGGCAGTTCAGATTTTGTGGGCTCACTGGCCAGCTCCAGTGATGAGCTCCAGGTTCCATGAGAAACCCTGTCTGAAAACAATGAGGTGGGGAGTAATAGAGAAAAGAGACCTGACATGGCTTACACACATGTACTACATACATATATACACACATAAAAAAGTCAAACAAGTCCTCAAAGAAGAACCTCCATCCCAGTGCTTGGGCCCTGGGCTGTAAGGATAGGGTACTCTCCTGGAGTTTTGGGGATGGGCTGAGCCATGAAATTCTGATTCTGGCCCGCTCTTAACTTTTATCTGGAAACTCCTTCTCCTCAGAGGCACAGAACTTGGGCAACTTTATTGTCAAGTATGGCTACATCTATCCTTTGCAAGACCCCAAGAATCTTATCCTCAAGCCTGACAGCAGTCTCTACCGGTTTCAGGTGAGCTTTGACCTTAAGTGGTAATGTGGGGTAGACCTTGGAAAGGTCTAGCAGTTGGCCTTATATCCTCACATATCAGGGATGTAGAAATGGTACAGAGGGCTAAGGTAGGGTGTTATAAGTAGTTTTTCCCTCTGGTCTGGTCCCACCGCAGCGCCAGCCACAAATAACACACTGAGATGCTGTATTAGATATAATGCTGTTGGCCAGTTACTAGTTTCTTATTGGCTAGCTCTGTCTTAAATATTAACCCATTTCTATTAATCTAAGTGTTTCCATGTGGTCTCATCTTATCAGAGAGAGGGGCTGGCGTTCTTCTCTCTCCATCTTCCATCTTGGATCACCTCCCTACTGCTTCCTCTCTCCTCCTTGTCTCCTAGTCCCGCCTATTTTGCTTTTCTATTGGCCAACAGTGCTTTATTCATTAACCAAAAAGAGAAACATATTTACAGAATGACAACTCCCATCAGTAGTGTTATCTTTCTCATCCCAGGCCTGAGGGTCCTTGAGGTCCTAGCCCAGTGGGTAACCATGGTTTTCCTGCTTTCTTTTGTAGACACCATATTTCTGGCCCACTCAGCAATGGCCAGCTGAAGACACAGACTATGGTAAATACTTCACTTACTCATATACATCTGTCCTTGCCTAACATACTGCTTATTTGAATGCTGCATTTGGGTGACATTTGTCTAGCTGTCATCATGACCTTTATGTCAGCTCACATCTGTATTGCAAGTACCGCTGGAGGCTGGGATGGGGGTTGGAGGAAGGAACCTAGTTGGCTGAGCATCTTTTCTGGCTACCTACGGAGTTTTAGAACATGACAATGATGGAAAATGCCATTGCTTTCTTTTTCAGCCATCTATTTAGCTAAGCGAAATATCAAGAAGAAAGGAATTTTAGAAGAATATGAAAAGGTACAATGACATATCCAAGTAGAGTTTTATAATGGAGAAGGATTACTACATTACTACATCCATCTGTCATTTGTTATTTACCCATATGTTCTTCATCTATTCTCCATCCTTCCATCAGCCATCCATCTACATGCATTTATCCACCCACACCCATCTATCCAGCATTGTCCATCCATCTCTCCATCCATCCATCATCCACCTATCTACTCTTTTATATCTATCTACCCATCATCTAATCCATCTATCTGTCATCTGTACATCCACATCCCTTCATCATCCATCCATCTATTCATCATCAATAATCTATCCATTATCCATCTATCTACATATCCATTGATTTGCAGCTTACTGAAACATTCCTTCCCATGTGTAGCTTCTATTTTCTCCTTGCCTTGGTGGTTACTGGGGATGCTGTTCCTTTTGTTGTATATATATGTATATATGTATATAACTTAACCCAGGGTTAACATATTTGAACTTAAATTTGTAGTGTAAAAACAATAGGAAAGACTTTTATTTTTGGCTGAGTAAGTCAGATTTCTCAAAGCACATGCTTGAAACTTCAGAAGGTAAGATAGTTTCATTCTAGTGCTGTGAGAAATATCATGACAAAACAACAACAAGACCAGTTCTGGGAAAAAAGGGTTTATTTCAGCGTATACTTCCAGGTTACAGTCCAATACTTAGGGAAGTCAAGGCAGAAGCTGAAGTAGAAATCATGGAGGAATAATGCTGTCTATTATCTTTCTCACTGACATGCTCAGCTAGTTTTCTTATATAGTTCAGGACCACCTGCCTAGGAATAGTACTGCCCGAAGTGAACTGGGATTCATGTGTCAATTAACAGTCCCACAATATGATGTTCCACAGCTATGCACCACAGCCCATCCGATCAAGGCGATTCTTCAGTTGAAATTCCCTCTAGGTTGTGGAAAGTTGACCATAAAAGCTAACCCAGTACATAAGGCTGACATGAGTATCTGGCAGAGGGTAGTAATCTTCATGGGTTTTAATTCTTTAAAAACTTGCCAATACCCATCCACACCCATCCATCACATCAAGTCAGGGTTAATCTTTGTGAATTCTCTATTTGCATATATTAGTAGCACAAAACATTGGATTTCACTGTGATATTTCAATCACAATTTTTAGGCCTTCTTCCTTACTGCTTTCTCTCTCCTTTCTCCATTCCACCTCCCCCCCCCACTCTCTTTCTAGTAGGAAAATGTTCTGAGAAGTACTCTCAGCTCTTTTAAAAGCTTTTTTTGTTGTTACTGTTTTAAGACAGGGTCCCACTGGGTTACTTGGGCTGGCCTTGAACTTATGATCCTCTCATTTTCTAGATTCTTGAACTCTGTTCTTGAATGTAGTTTCCACTCTTACCAGGCATCTCACAGATTTGAAATAAATTCTATCTATCTATCTATCTATCTATCTATCTATCTATCTATCTATCTATCTACCTACCTTTCTATCTATCTATCTATCTATCTATCTATCTATCTATCTATCTATCTATCTACCTACCTACCTTTCTATCTATCTATCTATCTATCTATCTATCTATCTATCTATCTATCTACCTATCTATCTATCTAGAGACAGGGTATCGGTGTCCTGGAACCAGGCTGACCTTGAACTCAGAGATCACATGCCTCTGCCTCCTAAGTGCTGGGATTTAATGCATACGGCACCACCTGGCTTTGTTTGTTTGCCGGCTTTTAATTTGGGGGGTATATTTATTCTGAACAAAGCGAATGAAACCAAGGAGAGTGAAGCTGTGGGAGACACTGGGCTGTGGGGAGCCAGGGTGTCCTTTGCTGACTTGATGCATTGTGCCTGCTGTTTGTGGCCTCTCCTGTGGGGCCGACTCTCCTCATTCTGTCTTTCTTTTCTAGGAAAACTATGATTTCCTCAACAAAAAAATTAACTACAAGTGGGATTTTGTCATCATGCAGGCCAAAGAGCAGTACCGGTGAGTGAAAACGTGAAAAGAGCCACAGGCTCTGCCTACTGGCTGTCCCTTCTCTCCTTCCTCGTCCTTTTTGTTTTTACTTAACTTAAATTTGGAGGGTATGTGAGTGTGTGAGTGTGGTGTGCATATGTGGTGTGTGTGTATGTATGGTGTGTGTGTGTATGGTACGTGAGTGTGTGTGTGTGGTGTGTGTGTATGTGTGGTGTGTAGGGTATATCTGTATGGTGTGTGTATGGTGTATATGTGTGTGGTGTGTATGTGTGTGTGTGTGTGGTGTGTATGGTATGTGAATGTGTGGTGCATGTATATGTGTGTGTGTGTGGTGTGTTTGTGTATGTGTGTGTATATGGTATGTGTGTATGGTATGTGAGTGTGTGTGGTGTGTGTATGTAAGTGTGTGTGGTGTGTATGTGTATGTATGTGTGGTGTATGGTATATATGCGTGTATGTATGTGGTGTGCATGTGTGTGTGCATGGTACGTGAGTGTGTGTGTGTGGTGTGTGTGTATGTGTGGTGTGTGGTGTGTGTATGGTGTATATGTGTGTATGTATGTGGTGTGCATGTGTGTATGTGTGTGTGTGGTGTATATGTGTGTATGTATGTGGTGTGCATGTGTGTGTATGTGGTGTGTATGTGTGTGTGTGGTGTGTATGGTATGTGAATGTGTTGTGCATGTATATGTGTGTATGTGGTGTGTTTGTGTATGTGTGTGTATATGGTGTGTGTGTATGGTATGTGAGTGTGTGTGGTATGTGTGTGTGTGTGTATATGGTGTGTGTGGTATGTGTGTGTGAGTATGTATGTATATGTGGTGTGTATGGTGTGTGTGTATGGTACATGAGTGTGTGTGGTGTGTGTATGTGTGCTGTGTGTATTGTGCGTGTGCACGAGCATATGCATGCACACTCAGGTTAGAAGATAACCTTGCTGATGCCTCCACTGCCAGCCCCCATATTACTTGAAGGTGACCCTCTCACTGGCTTGGGACTCTCCAGTTGCAAGTGATCCAGGCTGGTGGGCTGGAGAACTCTGGGGATCTGTCCATCTCTCCTTCTCCAGGATTGGAATTACAAGGACAGGAAACCATGCTTAGATTTGAAAAAAATAAAAACAAAAACAAAACAAAACAAAAAAACTATTTATCTATTTATGTGGGTCCTGCAGGGTCAGACTCAGGTTCTCATGCTTGGGAGGTGAACTCTTTACCAGCTGATGCATCATCCGATTCCACTGTTTCCTTCCATTAAAACCAGCCCATAATGAGCATGCATGTGGTAAAATCCAGGTTAGGGCTAGGGAACCAAGGACACAAGCCAAGCATGTCAGGCAGACTGATACAGGACACATTGCTGTGAGATGAGGGTCATGTGGCAGGGGTTTGGAGAGGGAGCTGTGGAAATAGACACAACCCCTTAGCTATGAAGGATGCTGATGGTGGGTGGAGGGGAGGAAGACGAGGAGGAGAGGGAGGCTGTTCTAAACAGGCAGAAGACAGAGAGTGCCCTGCGCTGTACTTTCTCTGGCTGGAGCAGGATGTGAAGTGTAGAATGGGTGATGCCTTCTCCCCCTGAACAACTCACAGGCCCAGCAGGGTTCATTTCTTACATTTGTGCCTACTGAAGGTCATCTGCCGCTTTGCCATGCCTTCTCTTACTTCAGGTAAATGTGGGAATTGACGTGAGACCACAGTACACAGGCATGGAGGGTTTGTTTGGGCCCACAATTTGGGGTCTATGGCGGCAGGGGAGGCGTGGCGGCGGGAGCACAAGGCGGCAGGTCATGTTACACCCCCCCCCCCCCCCCCCCCCCGCTCAGGAAGCAGAGAGGTGAATGCAGGTGCTTAGCTTGCTTTACCTTTTTATTCCGTCTAGCCCATGTGATGGTGCAGCCCACACTCAAGCCGGCTCTTCCCACCTCAGCTGAACTTTTTCTAGGAACGCCCTCATGGTCATGTCCCGATATGTGCCTCCAAGGTGATTCTGATCCAGTCACATTGACAACAAAGATTAACCATCATGCCCCCATGGGCACTGGCGAGAGATCTCTCTTACTGCTCTTTCGGCCACTAACGTGTTCCTGCCTGGCACGTGCGACAAAATCAACACAGACGGAACTCTCTAACACGTCACTGATGTTTGCCCACAGGGCTTCACTCGGTGTTCACAGGTGTCGTCTTATTTTAAATTGGTGTGGCCGAAATGGATCACTTATAGCTTATCATCTCTCTTTATCTCTTTAAGTTGGGAAACTGAGGCTTGGTTAAATTTACTTGATCAAGGTCACCAGGTTGGCTAGAATGATCAAATTCTATCCAGGGTACCAATTTTTTGCGTCCCTAATGGGTTCCTAATGGGTTCCAGCCCCAAGCTGGCCTCAGGAACTCAGAGACGGAGCTGTGTCTATCTCGCCAGTCCTCCACGCCCCTCTCTACTTCTTCACTCTGAGTGGGACAATCACAGCCACCCACACACCCTGACATAAGCCTTGCAGGTGGCTGCTGTGTCTCAGAGCTGATCTCAGTGGCTCCCAATTCCTCTTCCACCAGCTCTAGACTTCACTTCTGTGGGATAGGGAATTCCTAAAAGACTCCTTTCTTCTGAGACACTGGCTTCCCCACTCCTTGACTCAAAGGCTGCCTCTGGCTTCAGAGTTCGGATCCTACCACAAGGCTACGTGGGCCATGTGGGTTGGCTCACGGGGTGGTTTTTGTTATGCTGAGCCCCTCCCTCTGTCTTCCTCCTCCTCTTTTCCTCCTCTTACAGCAGCGAAGCAGCTCTTTCTTTTATGGTCCAGCCTCAGAAATTTCACAAGCTATGCCTGACACGCTATTGGTGAGACCCAATACAAAACCCCACCTGGTTCTAAGGGGAGGGGAATAGACCTTTCCATCAGTGGAAATGGCATGGAGACATACTTCAGAGCCACCACAGAGAGCATCCTTTGCTTTATAGTTTCTGTAATGTGTTCTCATAGTACAAACGCCATAGACAAGTCTTTATTTCTTGGAGTGTTTATGTAATGCTTAGACTAAAAGCTACTCAAAAGCGGGGGCTATGTTTTGACTCCCAGTGATTGGAATATAGTGGGAGATCAATAAATCCATGAATGAATAAGAGGTTAAACAAATGCTGTTGTGAAGAAAAGTCATATGATCCCCCAGACGAATTCCTCATTTACTGGCTATTTTGAATTGCATCTGTCACGGCTCTCTTGCAATCGTGTGTATCACATAAATGCTGATGAGCAAAGCCAGAAAGGCCCATGGGATTGTTAGAGACTGGCCCTATTTACAAGACTGACTGGCATTATAGAAACCATGCCAGCCTCAGGCTGCTTGTGGTTCATCCTCCTGAGGACTCAGGCTGGTTACCCTGATGGAAAATCCATTAGGTTGCTAAGGAAGAAATGGGGGCAACAGTGTTCAGACTTAATTTCCAGAGGAGGTTGGTAAAGCACCCTGCTGGAATTGCGCTGCTCACCCATCTGGCTCTCTGGATGTTATTATGTTATTCACAGAACATTAATGGGGAAATAAATCCACCGACTCTGTCGTGAGGAGGGTGTGTGCGTCACCTCATGTTGCCCGTTGCCTGGAAAAGCAGACGTTAATAAATGTGAGCACGGTTAGCCCTGGAAGTGAGACTGAATGGTACCCTTGGCGTGATAATGAGGGCTTCCTCCCTTCTGGAGGAGGAGGCCCCGCATTATTTCCTCCTGCGGGGGCGAAGAGGAGACGGTTAGACAAAACAGGGTAACCTTTAAGTCCTTAGTAGGGCTGAGAGAAAGCTGACTTGTCACCAACTCACTGGAATGACAGCGAGGGACAAACCGGTAGGGAGAAAATAGGACTTCCTGAGACTGCCATTGGCTTGCCGCAGCTCTGGCGTGGACTGACACCCGTCCTTCCTGATGTTGTTTGTCAAAGCAAGGAAATTAGTCTGAAGCCGGGGAAGTCAAATATTGGCCCCCACAGTCATTGTCTCTGCTCATTCCAGTCACGAAGTTGGTAACACTGAGCAGATTCTGGAGCTGGTCATGGCGACACCATCTAAGTCAGTGCAGCCCAAGGAGAAGGTGAACAAACCCTCGACTCCCAGAGAGAGTGTAGCCCCAGCAGAGCCTTCAGCAGTTGAGTTTTCAGTCCTTAACAGTGTAAGGACCCCACCAAGACAAGGGACCTCACCGAGTTATGAGGTTGGAAGTTCCCTGGGAGAGCTAACTGGGATCAAATGAACCAGTGCATGTTGGAGTGGTACCTGGAGTGTGAGCATGATGTTAGCAGCGCTTGCTGTCTCTGTTATCATTATGACTATTGAGAATTGTTTGAGCAGATGGGGAAATTGGTCCGGGGCATCAAGAACGGAGGCTACCTTAGACCAAAAGACTCGAAGCACTCTTGGCTTTGAACATAACTTTCTTTCTTCTTTCCTTCCTTCCTTCCTTCCTCTCTTTCTTTCCTCATTCCTCCCTCCCTTCCTTCCTTCCTTCCTTTCTTTTTTTTCAGGACTGGAAAGGAAAGGAACAAAGCCGACAGGTATGCGCTGGATTGCCAGGAGAAGGCGTATTGGCTGGTGCACCGAAGCCCAGTGAGTCCCTTCTGAGCTTCTCCACTTTCCGGTACCACAGCAGCCTCTGGCTCCCCACCCACTAGGGTTAGACTTATTAGCCAGAGGACCTGCTCAGCGTAGGCTACCTGGATGAGGAGGACTTGTGTCGTGTCTTGGTGGGGTGCTTGCGGTTTGTCTGTCAGTGTTAAGTGTTGCTCTTGTCTGAGCAACGGGAATCAACTCCATCACTCACCGGGGCTTCGATGTCTTTGATGTCATCTCTCCCTTGGGAAAGGAATATGAGAAGAAACTTTGGGAGTACAGGTCCTTAGCGAGAAAAATAAAACACTGAGAGAACAGAGAGTCTGTGGAGCTAGAGCTGCCCTAGCTGGCTCCAGCTCTGTCTTTCCTCCTCTGGTCCGGGTCAGCAGCTGGAATGGGAGGAAGATGTGAGGATTGAGCAGGCTTTCAAGCTTCTCATTGTTTGGGGCACATTGTTTCTTTGGCGTGGGGACTTCTTTTTGTTTTCTTTGTACGAATGTTTTGCCTCCGTGTATGACACCATGCATGCCTGGTGCCCCCAGAGGTCAGAAGAGGGTGCTGGACCCTCAGGTATTGGAGTTACAGATGTTTCTGAGCCACCTGTGGTGCTGGGAATGGCAGCCAAGTGTTCTGAACCACTGGGCCGTCTCTCTAACCCTACCTCGGGGCTTCTAATGGCTCCAAGAGATCAGCTGTCCATAATGGATGTAACCTGTTTCATTCCCCAGCATCCCTCATGCTCCATACACTGCTGCCTCAGTTTCCTCCTGTGTCAAGGCCCTCAGGGTTACAGGGAGTGGGAGAGGTGACAGCTTCAGGAAAGGGAAGCATCCAGAACAAACCTTCTTTCACCTCCCCCTTTACTGACCTCGCCTCCTGAAAGGACCAGAAATACTCAGAGTCAGGGGTGGTGCTAAAACCTGACATGGATCCATCAGAGCCTGGCTGTTCACTGATCTTCCTGTATTTCCAGCAGAGTTTTCTTAAGGTGTTGCTGTTGTGCTACGTGGTTTGGGTGTTGTGTTGCTGAAGTGAGCGTTCTGGGCTTGATAACCCAGTAGCTTATTTGGGTTTTCTTTGCCTCAGGGGGAAACCAAACTTTGAGTGCCTGATGCAGGTTCCTGGGGTTTGTTGTGTGTGGACACAGAGTTCTCGGGCCTCCGGGTCTCCGCACCGGAAGCTTTGGAGAGAGGTTGCTTTGTGAACTTCCCATTGCTTGTGTGTTCTAGCAGCAGCTTACTGAGGATGAGGGGAAGTGGCAGGTTCACACTTACTTACAGAGCCGTCCAGGGAGCTTTCAGTGTGGTTTCCTACTGTGTGTGCAGAGACTCTGTGGTGGCTTCCCCTTGTGCGCTCAGAGTCTCTGTGGTAGGAGAAGGCCACTGTGGCTGCAGCCTTTACAAAGTGCCCAGCAGGCTGCTCAATGACCTCCACCGGACCCCTCCCCTGCTTTGGTCCCCTTACCCAGAAGGCCAGAGGAAAGAAATGCATAACAGACCACTGGGATCTGCCCTAGTTTCCCTAGTGTAAGCTCTCAGCCTGCGCTGGGGAAGTGGCTGAGAGGCTCTTCACAGCCAGATACATGAGTACATGTGGTGTGGTCTCTGCACGGCCTCTTTTCCCTGTCTCCTCCCATCTCTATCAACATGGTATCATCTTGTCACCATCACCTTCACTTACCACATTTTCACTACTAATTCTACTACTCCCACCACCACCATCGCCATCATTACCATCATCACCACCAATCCCACCACCACCATCGCCATCATTACCATCATCACCAATCCCACCACCACCATCGCCATCATTACCATCATCACCACCAATCCCACCACCACCATCACCATCATTACCATCATCACCACCAATCCCACCACCACCATCGCCATCGTTACCATCATCACCAATCCCACCACCACCATCGCCATCATTACCATCATCACCAATCCCACCACCACCATCGCCATCATTACCATCATCACCACCAATCCCACCACCACCATCGCCATTGTTATCATCATCATCACCACCAATCCCACCACCACCACCATCATTACCATCATCATCACCACCAATCCTACCACCACCATCGCCATCATTACCATCATCATCATCAACAATCCCACCACCACCATCACCATCATTACCATCATCATCAACAATCCCACCACCACCATCGCCATCATTACCATCATCATCACCAATCCCACCACCACCATCGCCATCATTACCATCATCATCACCAATCCCACCACCACCATCGCCATCATTACCATCATCATCATCAACAATCCCACCACCACCATCGCCATCATTACCATCATCATCACCAATCCCACCACCACCATCACCATCATTACCATCATCACCACCAATCCCACCACCACCATCGCCATCATTACCATCATCACCACCAATCCCACCACCACCATCGCCATCATTATCATCATCATCACCAATCCCACCACCACCATCGCCATCATTACCATCATCATCACCAATCCCACCACCACCATCGCCATCATTACCATCATCATCACCAATCCCACCACCACCATCGCCATCATTACCATCATCACCACCAATCCCACCACCACCATCGCCATCATTACCATCATCACCACCAATCCCACCACCACCATCGCCATCATTACCACCATCATCAACAATCCCACCACCACCATCGCCATCATTACCATCATCATCATCACCAATCCCACCACCACCATCGCCATCATTACCATCATCATCATCACCAATCCCACCACCACCATCACCATCATTACCATCATCATCACCACCAATCCCACCACCACCATCGCCATCATTACCATCATCATCACCAATCCCACCACCACCATCACCATCATTACCATCATCACCACCAATCCCACCACCACCATCGCCATCATTACCATCATCACCACCAATCCCACCACCACCATCACCATCATTACCATCATCACCACCAATCCCACCACCACCATCACCACTCCCACCATTATCACTTCTCACCACCATCATCACTACCACCAGCATCACCAACATCACCACCACCACCATCACGATGATTACCACACATCACCACCATCCTTGTCCTCATCACTGTTGTCACCAACACATCAGGCCTCAGCTGAAAACTCACATCCCATTGAGCCCTCTGCTCTCATTCCTTTATTCACCCTTTGCAGTCCTGTGTGGAAAGCAGAGTTATTCCCCCTTCGCTGATAAATACCCCGAGGCCCAGGGATGTTGTAATTTGTCCACGTACACATAGCATATGTGTTGGAGGTTCTGAATCCTCACACTGTTAACCATGCAGCCCCCTCTCTTAGTCCCTAAGCTTCTTTTGCCTCCTGTGACAACGTGTCTTGATGTCCTTGTGCATTTTTGTTTGCAACCTTCCGAGCTGTTGATGCTCCAGAAACATAAACATTTGTGTTCCAAGAAGCCTGGCTACTTTGTTAGCATGGGGGATCCCTAGTTTTAGAGTGAAGCTTTATATGCTTGTGACAGTCTTAAAAGGGCAGTCTTAAAATACAGAGGACAGAGCTGGAAAGATGGCTCCGTGGTTAAGAGCTCTGGCTGATCTTCCGCAGAGAGGTCCTCAGTTAATTCCCAGCCACAACATGGTGGCTCACAACCATTTGTAGTGAGATCTGGTGCCCTCTTCTGGCATAAAGTTGTACATGCAGATAGAACACTCTATACATAAAATACATAAATCTTTAAAAAAATATGGAAAACACAAAACTGCTCCTCCTGTCTGGTCTCCTTCACGGCTGGCCTCCTCCGTTGAAATCCAGCTAGCATCAGGAATGAAGCAGGACTGTATCTAGGGTCTCTCACTCCCTAGAATACTCTTCACCTCTTGCTGGCTAGCGTAGGGAAGATGGTGTTCTGCCCAAGGAACAACTCTGCCTGGAATAGAGCAATCTGTCTGACAAGCTTAGGGAGCCCTGGAGCCCACAGACTGCCAGACTGTCTCCAGGAGACCTAAACAAACCCTCAGCACAGTGGGAAAAGAGCCAGCCTTAGCAAGTCAAGCATTTGGTTCTGCGGATGCTGAGCAGGAGCTCTGTGGACCCACTGTGGCCACCTGCGTGACGTGGCCACAGTCACCAGATGATCTGTTTACCTCTTCATTTGTCTGTTTCTTTCCTTTCCAATTCCTTGTGGGCTTCCATCGTTCATGAGCGTGGGTATGTGCCTGTGTGTGTTGTATATATGTCTGCTGTTTGCAGGTGTGGGGACATGTGTGTGTATGTATGCATGTAGAGGCCTGAGGCTGATGTCAGCATCATCCTCAGCTGCTTTTCCTCATTCACTGAGGCACTCACTCACGTAGTTAGTCTCACTATCCAGCTTGCTCTAGGGATCCCCTCTCTGTCATTATAGGCTAGCCACACCCATCCATCATTTGTGTGATTCTAGAGATCTGAACTCTAGACCTCATGTGTGTGCAGCAAGAGATATAACCACCGAGGCAATTCCTGAGCCCCTCATTTGTCCCTTTCTTAATCCTTAAATTCCTTATTGGTCCTTGACTGCCAGGAAAGGAGTGTTGGACACGTAATACCTGCTAGACAACACTAAGTCCATACTGTGAACCTGTGAAGAAGGGGCATCTTCTGATGCTGCATCCAGAAGAGCATCCATAGCAGAGGGTGAGATTGGAGATGGGTCCAAATAACAGATCTGAGCATGATGCAAACAGTGTAAACAAGCACAGGGAGAAACGGTTTCCCTATGTAGCTAAGGACGACCTTCAACTCCTGCTCCGGCTGCCTTTACTTCCTTACCTGATTTATGTGTTGCTAGGGATAGAGCCCAGGCTTCATGTGTGCTAGGCAAGCAGTCTATCAACTGAACTACACACACCCCAGTCCGAGACATGAGTTCTTGAACAAACCGTTTTGAGGTTTCGCTGTGTCTTCATGGAGCCACCTGGGCATCACCAGTGACTAGGTGTCTTCAGGCCTGGTTTTCTGGGGGCGAGGTCCTTTTGTGGCCTTGTGTTCTAAGGCAGATTGTCACACGAATAAACATACAACTAAACAGTCTTCATGACAGCCACACACATAGATACCAACAAAGGTATCTACTCTCCACTTCCTGCTGAGGTTGCGTTAAATGCCCCACAGTGGAGAAAGGAAAATAATTTAAGGTATATCCAATGTGATGAGACATTGTGAAGCAATTAAAGACATGGTCAAAAGCCATCATTTAACCTAGAAAATAGACGGAAACATAGTGTTGCATCATAAAACAATAGGGACACTTGATAGATGCCGATGGCAATTGTGTTAGGTGTTCTATAGGCAATGGGGATACCTGGCTTATAAGTTAGGCCAGACATGGTTCATGGTTTCAAGGAACTTATTTGTAGGGCAGTGAAGGAAAACATGACTAAAGCTATCATGTAAACGAATGAACAGTGTACGGAATGCCATGCAAGCTTGCAGAAGAAAGGAATCTTGCATCTGACCAGGCGCCAGGAGCCACCTCCACATGGAAGCAAGGACTTATGCTGAGCTGTGCTTGGAGCAGGTTCCTCTAAGTCTTTAACCTGAAACTGCCTCCTCGTTTCAGCCTCGGTTTTCCTTTTCTCCTTCCTCCTTTTACTGTCTATAAAACAATGTAGTGTTTTGTTTACACTCTCTGACCCATGGGCCGAAAGGGCCTGAGGCTTTAAGGAGGAGAGTGTTGGCCTGTAAAGGAGAATTGTCTGGTAGAAAAAGCCCATGTTCTAGTGCCACCCTGGGATGCTGATTCCTGTTGATGACATTGTCAGATTACCAGGCTTTTAGCGAACTGTCTCTTTTGTTTATGCCCAAGGGATGTAACTGAGATGTCACACTGGGTGCTCACAGTCCCTTCCACTGAAGGAGGGAATCTCACACATCTCTGACAGACTTTCAGTGTGGAGATACCAGGGCAGAAGGCATCTGCTGGCAGCACCTCAACTCCTTGCCTTTATTGATTGTACACTGACAAGGAGTGCTGGAGAATCTTCAATTAAGTACCCACCCATGGACCAGAGTACAGTAGTTCTGGTGGCCATTACAGTAGGATAAAGACTGTGCTAACTGCCGGATGGATGGATGGATGGATGGGTGGATGGGTGGGTGGATGGGTGGATGGGTGGATGGGTGGATGGGTGGATGGGTGGGTGGATGGATGGATGGGTGAGTGGGTGGATGGGTGGATGGATGGATGGGTGGGTGGATGGATGGATGGGTGGATGGATGGGTGGATAGATGAGTGGATGGATGGGTGGATGGGTGGATGAGCCTGAGAGGCTCTTTCACTTGTAAACATCTGGGGGAGTTTGGACAGGACAGTGGTTGGGATTACAGCTTCTTCATCTGGAACTTAAGGGGTTACTGCCCATAGAGAGGCCAAGAGGAGGGCACAGCCAGGGGAAGGTCTGACTGGTAGAGCTGCTGAGGAAATCTGCAGGTGTGGGGGATGGTGGTGAGCAAGAAATGGAGAGGAGGGTGGAACAGTGAAGGCCAGATGTGCACAAGTCTGGGCGGCACAGGTGACTTTGGAGCTGGTTTCAGCTGTGCACTTACTGTTATTCTTGTGCCCCAGTACCCCAGGATGCCTAATTTCTGTAGTCTGTGGGGCCAGTTCAAAGGAGCGGCTAAATAGCCAACTCGAGCCTGCAGCAGCAGATGACCCCATGGAGCTGCTGAGGCCCTTGATAGGAGCAGGGCAGTGGCTGTAGGTCACTGTGGGGTGGGCTCTGCCTGTGCAGTGAGCATGTATGATTGTGTGTAAATGTGTGAGAGCATGGGAGAGCATATGTGTCTGTGAGTATGAATATATAAGTTGAGAGGGTGTGTAGGTGAGTGAGACAAACATTGTGAATGTGTGCGTGCGTGCGTGTGTGCGTGTGTGCGTGCGTGCGTGTGTACGTGTGTGTGTTTCTGTAGCAGATGTAGGGGGAAGTCCCTGGAGGCCATTTAGGTGGAAGCGTTAGTCTGATGGCCACATCCTTCCCTTCTTCAAATGATGTTAGATCTTCTTGAGAGCCATTTGGGACTTTTTTGCTGTCTCTGTGACATTAATCATAACTGTTGCTTACCTTGTTGTGATTACTGAGGGATTTCCTCCTCCCCAAGACTGGAATTGTCCCAGTGCATCTTTGGGTGGAGGAGTGCCCCAGAGCAGGAGTCTCAGATCAAACTCACTGTCCTTTCAAATCTTAGTCCAGAGTGTCTAGCTCATAGTAGTATAATGACCATGGCCCGCGGGCAACAGTCGGGGTGAGGGTAGCAGCTCCATTTCCTCACCCGCCTCTCACACATTTTCTATTTCTCTCTCCCCTCTTCCTTGTATAGTCTGTAGGCCCCTATTTGCTTCTTTGGTAGCCTGCTGAGCTAGGATGTTGTATTTAGCAAGCTGAATACAGAGTATCCATTTCCTAATGGTTCACATTGTGTGTGTGAGTGCACACACACACACACACACACACACACACACACACACACTTGCCATAGAGGGGCCATACAGGCCAGAAGACAGCATTTGGAGCTGGGTTTCTCCTACCTTGTTTTGAGGCAGGGTCTGTCTTTCAGTAGCTGTGCTGAGTGCCCTCCGCTTGCTGCTGGCTGTGAGCGTCTATCTTAGTCTCTTGTATTTGTCATATGTCTCATTGGAGGAAGGCTGGCTGTGTTTACAGATGTGCACCACACCATTGGGTTTTCTACACGTGTTCTAGGGGTTGAACTCGGGTTTTCAGATTTGCATTGCAAAGCGCTTTTACCCACTCAGCCACTTCCCTGCCCTCAGCTACGATTATTTTATACAAAATAGTTGCTGTATTCTATCAAAATATATTTTATGTGTTTAACAGATGTGTAAAATAAGTGTAAAACTATTGGAGCTACGTATGGTGACATGGGCCTGGAAGCTCAGGCTGAGGCAAGAGGATTGTGAGTTCTAGACTGATCTAGGCTGCACTGTGGGTTCAAGGCAAGCCTGGTACATAGAGACTCTGTTCTCCATGCTCCAAAAACAAAACCAGCCAACAACAACCAAGCAATTTATATCTCGACTCCTCCAAAACGGTTGGGACCTAAATTATTTATGTTTAGCTGAGGTTAACCAGATGTCCTAGATTTTACTCTTAGCAGCCTTACCTCTCACTGAAAATGTTTTCAATTCTGCTGACGGGACAAGATCTGATGGCGAGAGAGCCGTCTGTCTGCTGCATGACATCAGCCTGATTAACAATGTGTGCCGACACTTGCCTGTACAGAAGGAAGTGGAAACCTCAATTGCCGGCCTCAAGTAGATGGGAGAGGCCAGATGAGACTGGGTGCGGGGCGGGGGTTAACCAGAGGAAGTGGGGCTGACAGAGACTGCTGACACAGGGCTGTTGTCAGCGTCGCACGCAAGACCTTAAATGAGTGCAGGCCCTTATTCAGTGATAGCGACTCCCTGTCGATGGTGTCGTACTCCATCTTGCCAAATCCTAGAAATACCTGTCAGGTAGGAGGCATTATCTCTGCTTCTCAGGTGGCTGAGCCAGTGAATACGGGGGCGGGGGGGGGGGAGAAGTATCTCCTAGGACAGTGGTCCTCAACCTTCCTAATGCTGCAACCCTATAATACAGTTCCTCATGTTGTGGTGATTCACCCCTCCCCCGCCAACCATAAGATTATCTTCGCTGCTACTTCATAACTGTAATTTGGCTACTGTTAGGAACTGTAAATACCTGTGTTTTCCATTGGTCTTAGGCGACCCATGTGAAAGGGTGGCTTGACCCTCCAAGGGGTTGAGAACCACTGTTCTAGAATTTTGGCACATCTGGCAAATAGCAAAATCAAGGCTAGAATGGGACAGTGCGGGGCTGAAGCATGACTTGCTTCCTTCTAACCCAGGCCAGGCAGCAACTGTAGGGTGTGGTGAAGGAGACCCATAGGAGGAATTAGAGGTCCCATGTATCAGTTGTGGTGGCCTTACTGAGTTTCAGTGCTATCCGTTCATCCATAATCTATGCCGTCTGCCATCTACTTATCCATCGATCCATCCATCTGTCCACAATGTGTCCCATCTGTCATCCATCCATCTATCTATCCATTCTCCTTTGGTGTGGAGAGGCATTCATCTGTCCTTCCCTCCTTCCCACTATGTAGAGTGCTGGGTATCTGTGGTAGCAGACCAAATAACCCTGGGTGAGCTCTCTAGCTCATTAGGGGGTTTATGCAACTTATATCTCCTTGTGGGGTAGGCCTCTAGCCCTTCCCTTCTCAGCGTTGTCTCTCAGTTGGTAGCTTGGCCAAGGTCCAGAGTTGATCAGACACTAAAGACCCTTCCTGTGGTTTCCCTTACATCGTTTTTCTTCTGTTCAGCCTGGAATGAACAATGTGCTGGATTACGGCCTGGACCGAGTAACCAATCCAAACGAAGTTAAGGTAAACCAGGTATGTGTGATGTACTCCGGGCAGGGACATGGTAAGGTTCTGAGGTTGGGAAGGCGTCCGCACATCTATCTGTGTCCATGAGGCAATGTTATCTCTCCTTGGAGATTGCTGCTGGTATCAGGTGCTGATATATGACTCTGGGGCATCAGGGTGAGGAGGAGGAAAGAGTGGGCCATTGCCAGGGTCCTGGGTAGAGAGTGGTCACAGTGAATGAATGAAGACCATAGAGCAGGCCACGTGATGCTTGCGTCATCTCACACTTTGAAGATCAAATGAGATTTTCAACCCAGTGTGCCATAGTTAAGGCTTGGCCTCAAGGCATTGGTGGAGACCTGGAAGGGCGTGTCTGGATGGGAGGAAGATGGAAATGCAAAGGTGGAGAGAAAAAGCAGGATGCAGTTGATAAAGTACCACTGTGGTGTGTGGAGAGGGACTCCAGAGAGCATCACCAGGGGGCATTGTTAGGACTCTTGTCCAAAATGGCCCTTCCCTTGATACATTTAGGGCACATTAGCCAGCTTTCAGCTGCCGCTCTTCCAGCAGCGTCTTCCACGTTTCACGTTTTCTTGTCAGATAGCAGATCACTGCCAAGGTCTTGTAGGCTCAGTTGCTATGGAGACAGAATCATCGAGTAAAATACAGAACCGGGTGGGGGAGATTTTTTTTTTTAATGGATAATGCTCTTCGCTGGAAACATCTTTCCGTTGGAGGAGGGGGAGGTGAAGTAGCAGGCACGTCACTGGCTGTGACGTGGGTGGGATGTGGGAACTGACTGAGGCTCAGCTGTGTGGATGTGGGGTGTGGGGAGATGAGAACAGGACTCTCACATCTTCTGTTTTGAAGAGTGGCCATGGAGTTGTGCTATCCCATTGTAGATGCCGTGGTTGAGTGACTTCTGGGGAGTGTGGCCAGTAGGCCTTCTCACTGAGGAAGCATCTTCATGCCCCCTGGCCACCCACGAGCTGTGCCTTCCAGATTTCCAAAACCTGGGTGTGCCGGCTGCTGGCAATGGTCTGAGCAGGGAAGAGGAGGCCAGACTGGATGTGTGTGTGTGTGTGTGTGTGTGTGTGTGTGCGTGCATGCTGTGTCTTCTTTGCTGGGTGCTCACCTCTCTCTGTTTCTGTCTCTCACCAGCTCTCTTTCTCCTGTGTGTGTGTGTGCTCTCGGACCACTGTGGAGCAGTATGAAGAAACATCACACAAGCTGCCCTTCCCTCTCCAGCAGCACAGTGCCCATCAAATCCCCCGTGCAGGGAGGGGCTGGGGCTGGGGATGATTGCTATGGCAACATTTCTCATGACCAGGTGACCCTGTTTCTCCTTATTTCCTGCACTGAGAGGAGAGGGTCACGGAGAGCTTGGAGCATCTTCCACCAGGTCTTAGGATGGCAAAGGTTTGCTATTTGTCTCAGTTCAGAGAACTCACAGTGAAGAATCAGGTCATTTCCGAGAACCAGGAAGTTCTTGACAGCTGTTTCCCCTCAACAGAGGTAACAGCCAGTTCGTTGAGCTTGAGAATGGAGGCTGTTAGGCTGGCAGGGGTCCAGGGCCTCCGGTAGCCAGCTTCATCAGATCATGACCACCGGTTGGTAAGGCTGCCCTGCCCTGGGAGAATCTGGTCTGGGCTGGGAACCTGACCTGGTATATATAATTTCTTTTCAGTTCCCATACCTTGAGGGCATTCAAAAGGTCACATGTATATCTCTCCCTTTCACTCCAAAGAACGTTTGGCCCTACCAGAAGAACCCTGGGTAGAGACTAGGCACTAGTCTGCTTGTGAGCCCCCCGTCACACTCTGGACTGACCCTTCTGCCTCATTTCCTCCTCCACCCCAGGAGGGGTCACACTGCCATCTAGTGCTGCTCACGATGGGTCGCACTTTACCCAGCCATGAGGGACAACACAGTGCTGACGGAATCCAGCTCTGCCACTTTTGGCCAAACTCCTGGGCCATGCAGAGCTTGAGTGTCACGATCTACCTATGAAATTCACCTACCGTTAGTTCTTTAGGAGATTAAGCAGGATCATTTATAGAAGTGTCTAGACCAATATACAACATGCGAGGTACTCTAAGAATAGCTGTTATTCTTACCATCATAACATGTCATTGTATTGTGAAGGAGATGGGTTATGGGGTCTCATCTTTACTTAATGTGTTTGCTATTATCCTGATTAGTTTCAGTTAGGCTTTAAAGTTAACTTACAAAGTGGTGGGTATTAGTATGACTCTCTCTCTCTCTCTCACACACACACACATGCTTTTCATTCTCTTTGTTTGAAGAAGAGGCATTTTTATTTTGCGCTGGGCCCTGCGAGCTGTGAGTGGGGGATCCTGCCTCTCCCTGCTCAGGAAGTGTCAGGCAGACAAGTGTCTGCTCAGATGGTCCCAGCCTCAAATCCTGGCTCCTCTGACAGCTGCCCTTGCTCTTTTTCTGTGTACTTTGTACTAGCAACTTCAGTTTCTGGGTTTCCATGTTTGCAGCTTCTGCCACTATCTCTGCTCTCAGTTATCAAATAACAAATAACTATTGTTAACATTTTTTTTAGTCCATTAACATTTAGCACGATTTAAAGAAAATATTCCATTATCTACCCTATCTTTGTGAGTCTAAAGTCTTATATGTAACTTATCTTTAATCCTAACTAAGGAAAACTATAACCATAGCTATCTGCCATCAACTCCATCAAAGACCACAGAAGGATAATATATAAACTCTGGAAATTACAGAGACAACTTGATGCCTGGTCAGTCACCCGAAGTTCTTCTGTAATCTTCCATCTTCAGCCCATAGGCCATAGTGTGTCTGTCAGACATTTTAGCAAAGCAGGAAACTTTAAACTGTCCACCTGTATTGGCAGTTTGTCAGTCACTTTTCTCTGTGTCCTGCAGATGGTCTGACAGACTCTTCCATGAAGCAGAAATCCTGTAGCAATGTCCATCTTGTTTCAGCAGTCACTTTTCTGTGGGTCTTGCATGTCCAGTTTATATAGCATAAAGTCAAATAGTCCAGACAAGAACAGTATCTTACCCAAATGGCTAGTCTTGCCATATTGGAAGCAAACTCTATAATGAGTTTCTTCGATGTCCATCTTTCTTTCTGAACCAGGTGGTGTTGCCAGGAGCAGTTATGTCTCACTGCCAAGAAAAACCCTAAACCATTTTAAATGCCATATTCTGTGGGTCTTTGAAAGGTTTGAAGAATGTCTATTTATTTCAAATATATCTCTGTATATCTAGAAAACCTAACTAACTTAACTATAAGTTTTGGCTATTATAGGTAACTATCTATAAGCTGTACTAAATTATACATTACATTTGAAAATGAGCTATATAAACACAATACCTAAACAAGAGGAGAAATATATATCACAAAATTGACCTTAAAATTTATCAATAAATGAAAATCCATTCCAAAACAAAATATTCATATCTATACATAATCCCCTTTCTCATCTTTAAAAAGAGATTGGTTGTGGTCACTAACCATTTATAACCAACTCCATTTAAATGAAAACAAACATTTATAAACAATATTTGGGAATTTGCGTGTCATTCTTTTCAAACTGCTTCCTGCTGGTAGGGGGCGCTGTCATGGGGATCCTAAGAAGACTCAGAAATCCTGGCTGTAGTGGTCTGCAAGGCTGCCTTGTCCCAGCTGTTTTGAATGATGGATCATCTGGGACACTGCTTCAGGGGGTCTTGCTTGATCAAACCATGTTAGTGTGGAAGGAATCCACAGCTTTTCATTTTCTGTGGAAACAAAAATAGAAATCCTTTTCCCTAGTAACCTGTTCTTAGACTTAAATTTGGAAGTCAAAGCATTTTTAAAATATATAAATGGATTAATTTAGCAGCATTGATAATTAAGTCAATTGTGGCAATTGTTCTTTCCTTAGTAATTGAGAAATTTAAAGACAACACAATAGCATACAGTATCCATACTCTGTGTATTTTCCATTTTTATGTGGCTTTTTATTACTTTATTTCTTTTACTTTTATTTATTTATTTTTTAATTTATTGAGATAGGGTTTCTCTGTGTAACTTTGGTTGTCCTGCAATTTACTTTGTACATCATGTTCACTTTGAAATCACAGAGATTTGTTTGCCCCTACCTCCCGAGTGGTGGAATTAAAGGCGTGTGCCACCACACCCAGCTACTCTCTTTCTATTTTTTTAAAAAACCACTTTATCCTGTTTCTTTTTCTCTCCCAAGTCTATGTTATATTTTTAAAACACACTGCAAACCTTTAGAGGTTTTTTTCTTAATCTGAATCTGTCTTTACTGTAAATCTTTATCTCTTTTTTGGTCAGGAGTCGTTTATCTGCTAAACAACATTGCTAAAATGAAAGCCACAGCTGTATTAGTCTTGGTCTACCCAAGATGGTGGGGCTGCAATTACCGCCAGCACCCAGAGCTGTGCTCACTGCCTTGGTCTATGCTACCATCAAGCTTTATGCTGCTGGCTTGGAGATGTGGTCACTGCCACTGTCAGCTCTCATACACACCATTCAGTTGTTATCAGGTTTTGCTGCTTATGTTGAGTCAGGAAATCTCTCTTAAAGGAGCCTCGCCAGTCTCTGCTTTTTTCTAGGAAAACAGCCCAATTGAGAAAAATGCTGTTACCAAGAATACTTGTTTGCCTCTGTTATTTTGTTTCTAAAACCCCTTTTTAAGCTTTTGTCAAGTTTTAAGTGAAAGTTCTCAGGCCCACGTTGGGCGCCATTTTGTTATGAGCAGTTTTCCCGCCAGCCTGATCCCACAGCCACATCAGCCCCAAATAACACACAGAGATGCTGTATTAGTTATAAAGCTGTTGGCCTGTTACTAGTGTTCCTTATTGGCTAGCTCTGTCTTCAATATTAACCCATTTCTATCGATCTAAGTATTTCCACGTGGTCTTATCTTACTGGAGAGAGGGTCTGGACCTCTTCCTCTCTCAAGTCTCTACTTGAATCTCCTCCTACCTCTCTCCCTGAATCCTCCTTGTCTCCTAGTCCTGCCTATCTTGCCTTCCTGTTTGCCAACAGTGCTTTATTCATTAACCAATAAGGGAAACATATTTACAGAATGACATCTCCCATCAGAGCTGTGTTCTTGCCATTCCATGTTGGGCCCCGGGAACTCCTGTACCTCAGGGCCAATGGACCAGTGACTCCTTTTGTGAAGGTTAAGGAGAATCAGGGTCCTTCTTGCATGTGTGACCCTATTCCGCATGAAGATTTGATTTCATTTAGCAGCATCAACATTAGGCAGCCAGGAACTATGAGGCTCGGCTTGCAGGATTAGAGTCAGCACCAAACAGCCCTTGAACACAACCACATGTAGGAAAACCAAGACTGGGATTCCCACAGTGCCCAACCACAAAGGATTGCACAGGGCAGAAAGGTACAGCCAAGATAGCTTGTTCCTGGGGGGTTTCAGCTGGGGACTGACCTGAATGTCTCAGGGGCTTCTGAGAGCCTAAATGAGAAGGCTGCCATGAACCTGTCCTTCTCTGTATTTACTCAGAAAGTTCAGAGGATGCCCTGTGCCTGATCCCCAGCATGGACTTGAATTGCTTTGATAGCTTCCACAAGGGCATACAGCCCATTGTGGTCTCCTCACATCACAGCCCAGCTCTGAGACTTGGCTGTGTGTTTTTGTTTTTTGTTTGTTTGTTTGTTTTTTAATTGTGTGCTTTGTGTTTTAGAAATATGGCTATATTATCTATCCTTTTCAGTTTGTGGTGTCAGTGCAACTGTTACGAATGCCTGAGAGTGATTCTCACAATTCATTCAAAATTCTTCCTAATAAGATGTTTTTCCGTGCTCCAGGCTAGTTTCTCCATCTTTGTCCCTTCTATGTCTTAGTAAGAGGTGGCTTCCCTTTATTAACAATCTCTCTCTCTCTCATCTATCTATCTATCTGTCTGTCTGTCTGTCTGTCTGTCTGCCTGCCTGCCTGTCTGTCTGTCTGTCTGTCTATCTATCTGTCTATCATGCGTGTAGAGATACATGCTTTCTGTGGGTTTCTATTGCTGTAATAAGACACCTTGACCAGAAGCAGTGTTGGTAGGAAAGGGTTTATTTTAGCTTATGACTCTTAGGTCACACATAGTCCATCCCTGAGGGGAGTCAGGAGGCAGGAACTCAAGGCGGGAATGTGGAGGCAGGAAGTGAAGTAAAATCCACAGAGGAGTGCTTGCTTCTATGGCTTGCTTAGCCTGCTTTCTTTTACACACCACAAGACCACCACCCCAGGGGTGGCACTGCCCACAATGCGCCGGGCCCTCCCACATCAATCATTAATCAAGAAAGTGTCCCACAGGCTCGTCTGCAAGGCTTGCCAATCTGATACACACATTTTCTCAATTGTGGTTCTCCCATTGACCAAGCTCTGGCTTGGGTCAAGTTGATGAATAAACCAACCAAGCAGGATGAGTGGCGTATCTGTGGAGGACATAGGACAATTTCGTGGGGTCACTTCTCTCCTTATGTCTTTGCATAGGTTCAGGGATTAAACTCAGGTGGTAAATACTGGATCTACTGTGTCATCTCAGCACGAGTTTCCTTCAGCATCTCCCACTTTTCAGCTGTTTCTGTAGACACACTGGGAGAACAAGGCCAGCCCCAAATGAGGTCCTTAATTCACACTGGCTTTTAGGAATGAAGATAAGTGGCAAATTACAGTCCTTCCTTTGGCCACTCATTTCTAGTGGCTTTATGAAGGAGGATGGACGTGTAGATGAAGAGATTCCCCCTTTTTAAATATGAGAAGATGAGCAGTTTTCTCAGGAAGAATGCGTGTTTTTTTTTTTTTTTTTTTTTTCAAATGGACATTTGAGCTGTATGGATTTAATGGCACCGATTTAATGGGTTTTCTTCGTTGTTTTACAGAAACAAACGGTCACTGCTGTCCGAAAAGAGGTAATTAGTCTCCCAGTTCCAGTTAGATGCCTCGTTTTAAGCTCTTCTAGTGAAGCGTGTGTGCTCCGCACTCAGTAGTGCAATGAAATCCATGTGCGGGGTTCAGACAGTTGTCCCCAGAACAGTGGGTAGCAATCATGGTAAGGTGGGAAAGGGGAAAATGCCAAGACTCAGAATGTGAGATGCCCCTTGGAGCCACACATCTGAGGGATGGTCATGGAGGACTGTGGGGGTGAAGGCTGTGGTGTCCACCTCCCTAAGCTGGACCCTGTTCTCACAAACGCATTTGGAATCTGTCCAGGGCTACTTACTCTGGCCAGTCTCTGCAAGGAGGGCTTAGGCACGTAGCCTCCTAATCTCACTTACATGATCCTTGGGACAGTTTTTCTAGCTGTTGACTTTTCTTAAACTCATGCATGCTGGGTTAGAGATGTTAACTAGGAGTTTGAGGTATGGGCCTGAGCCCTGTTGTTGCTGAGGTGGCTGACTTGAAGTGCTAGAGCACACTATTGATATGGATAAAAGACCGTGTTCTTGGCTCTCTGTGTGATGCCACGGTTAGTGGTACCCAAGGGTGGGGAGTTGGAAATTGTATCATTCACTTTCCTCATTGCTATGGCAAAAAGCAGCTTAGGGTTTATTTGGGTCCACAGTTTTAGGGGATGTTGTGGGAGAGCCATAAACAGCCAGAGCATGAGGCAGCTAGCTGGTCACGTGGCATCCACAGTCAAACAACAGAGAAATGAATGTGGCTGCCCAGCTCACTTTTTTTCTGATTCTTCAATCCTGGACCCCAGCCCATGACAAGGTGCTGCTCACTTGTAGGGATCCTCCCATCTCAAACAAATCTAGAAACCCCTCACAGACATGCCCAGTGTGTCTCCCAGGGGTTTCCAGATCCTCTCAAGTAGACAGTCATGATTAATAGCTACAGACATCTTCTCATAACTGTCTCTCTTCCAGATCATGTATTACCAACAGGCCTTAATGAGGTCCACAGTGAAGTCTTCGGTGTCCCTTGGAGGGTATGTCCCTGATTAATTAGTTGGTCTTGCTAAAATATAAGCAAGGTGTGCAAGAGAATGTCAAAGGTGACAAGCCATGGGTAGAATGACTTTAGGTTCCAATGAACTGTTTTGTGAGTTCTTGCTTCCAACATTAGGCTTGGGGTTGGGTCCTTGTAAAAAATCTTAAATAGCTTTCATACCTTCCCCAATTCACAGTTTTAAAAAAATGTGACATCCCCCTTGTAGGCATGTCTGTGTCTGTGGGCTGAGTTGTAGCAGGAACCCTTCCTCACACACAGATAAGACATCAGGAAATGCATTAACTCAGAAGGTCCCACTTCAGGACCCACTGAGGTCTCAAAGGGTTTAGATAGTTAACTGAAGTCCCCAAGCACAGGCATTATCCTGTCAGAGGTGGAATCAAAGGCTCTGTGGCCTTTGTTTATCTGTGACAACTGCAGTTTCCAAGATGGCCACCAAGATGACACTAACAAACTGAGTCAGCTTTGGAGTGTAAAAATCTGCTGACGACATGTGAAGAAGTCATGTTTGAACTGGGGACAGAAAATTGACCAAGGGAGGGAAAACATTTGCTTTCCAAGTATAATAGAACAGATCTTTCCAAATGGCTGCTCGTCCCAGGAGCTGTGGGCATTTTTCCGAGAAGGCAGTAATAAGGCTTCTTATTAACCAAATCAAGACCAACAAGAAGAGAGGGCGAGCTGAACAACTAGCCTGTGCAGTTATCTGGTCTCGTTGGGTTGTGTTTCCAGGAACCCTTTCTGTCTGCTTTTCAGAATTGTCAAGTACAGTGAGCAATTCTCCTCCAATGATGCCATCATGTCAGGCTGCCTCCCAAGCAATCCTTGGATAACAGATGATACCCAGTTCTGGGATTTAAATGCCAAACTGTATGTATTTCAAACGTTGAGATTTAGTGTGTGTGTATGTGATGTGCTTGCATGTGTGAATGAGTATTTCTATGTATGTGGTACATATATTCACGTGTATGGAGGCCTTAAGTTGATATCAGGTGTTTTCCTCGACGTGCCTACACTTTAATAATAAAGGAACAGGCTCTCCGATTTAGGGTAGTCTAGTTCACCAGCTTTCCCTAGGGAACCCATCTCTGCCTCCGAAGAGAGGCCATTGCAGGTCATTTCTATTCCTACCTGGGTTCTGGAGGTCTAAACTCTGGTCTTCACATTTGCATGATGAGCCATTCCCCCAGCCTGAAACGTACTTCCTTCTTAGGATGGATTGTAGAGTGCCTAGAATTCACAAAGCCCTGGGTTCAACCCACATACACTATAAACCAGGCATGATGGTGCCTGCCTGTAATCCCAGCACCTTGGAGGCAAGAGGATCCGACATTCAGGGTCCCTAAACAACATAGCAAGTTTGAAGCCAGCCTAGCATACATGAGGCGCTGTCTCAATTTTCTTCCCTTTTTGAGTTGTAATTCATATCATACAATGTATCCATTGAGAGCACACAATTACATTTTTGTTATACTGACAGAATAATCACTACTACAATCATTTTGAAAAGAAATCTGTGCCCTTTAGCTGTCCCCCCCCCCCAGTAAATCTATTTTTTGACTATCTGTATTCTCCTACTTTATATTTTTCCTGTAGATGAACTCATGGGATATGGGTTCTTTCATTAGGCACTTTTCACTCCATGCTAGCCTTTCAAAGTCTATCCATGTTGCGAGCTGAATCAGTGTTTTGTTTCAGTTATGGTAAGTGACATTCCCTGTGTGCCCATGCACTTTCTGCTGAAGGACATTTGGGCTTTTCTAGCTTTTAACTCTCACGAACACCTCTGTCACAGTCATATATGTTCAGGGTGAAAGGGAAGTCTTGGTGAGTGACAGGTGCCACAGCATCTCCTACCAGTATGTCACTGGAATTCTATCCTGCCACAAAGGTGGCAGCCGGACTCTTGACAGGTTGTCTCCAGGCTGAGTTCTTTGTCCCTGAATATTTTTGGCACAGAGCTCCACAGAGTGGCCCTCCCTCAGCTCTGGGAGGCCACATCTTGGGTGTGACTTCCAGGGGACTTGTTGGAGGCTGCATCTTCCTGGCAAGTGCCTACTTGGGTTGTGTGTCCATGCAGAGGTTGAGAGGTAGAGCGAAATTGAGAGCGCCTGGTGACTTTGGTTAAGGACCTCGTGATGGTTGCTGGAGGCTGATGTCTGTCACTCCCACCCAGACGAGTGATGGGCAGAGCCCCTGTCTCCCAAGGAGTGCTGCATTTACCCGTCATCATCTCTGCAGGGTGGAGGTCCCAACTAAGATGCGTGTAGAGCGATGGGCCTTCAACTTCAGTGAGCTGATCCGGGACCCCAAGGGTCGTCAGAGCTTCCAGTACTTTCTCAAGAAGGAATTCAGTGGTGAGTTCTCCTCCTTCCTTCCATCCTCCACCCCTCTCCCCTCACAGGATTCCATGCTGCCCAGGCTAGCCTTGAATTCTCCATAGCTGAAGATGGCCTTTAGCGGTTCTCCCAACTCCCTCCCAAGAGCTGGGATTACAGGCATGAGACATGCTACCTGGTTTAACAGGGTCCCGAGATACGAAGGTACTGAGGGCTCAGTGTATGTTAGTTTAACACTCTCAACTAAGCTGCCTCAACAGCTCGAGGGTGGTTTTTGTTGTTGTTGGTTGGTTGGTTGGTTTTGTTTTGTTTTTTTTTTTTGCAACTGTCCCTTTAATGTCCAGCCTAGGGCTTTAGGAGTTTCCCAGTGGGTGCTTCCATATCTTGTTAAGGCTTTTAAACAGGGCTTCTTGCTTTTCCAAGTTTAAGAGTCCTACCTGGGTCCAGGGCCACAGGCTCAGAAGGACAGTGCAGTCTGGGGGGAAAATCACATCTCTAAAATATGGGTCAGTTTCATTCACTCTTCCCAGGACTCCATCCCTTTTTGACTTCCCCTTCATTGCTCAGAGTTCCTCTAATCCACTTTCATGACCTCTGGCCTGCTATCCTCTCCATAAATATAGCTTCAGAGGTCAGCTAGCTAGCTTCCCCAGCTTCTCTGCCAGCTGTGCTGCCCTCATCTTAGAAGTTCTTCAGAGTCAATCCTGCCATGGATTTGAAAAAAAAAAAAAAAAAAAAAAAAAAAAAAACCAAAACATTGCTTTTGTTTTTACTTTATATATGGGTGTTTCGTTAACATTTACATCCCTACACAATGTGCATGCAGTTCCCAAAGATTCCAGAAGGGGCATCATATTTCTCCAGAACTGTAGTTACAGAGAGTTGGTAACTGCCATATGGTTGCTAGAAGTTGAACCCGGGCCCTCAGGTAGAGCAGTAAGTGCTCTTAACCGACCAGCCATCTCCCAGCTCTTCAGGGATCTTTATTGTTTATTTTTTATTTTGGGGGGTGCCTTTAAACTCATATTTACCTGAACCCAGCCCAGGGATGCCTTTTGTAATTGGATTGAGTTGCAATCCCTTGTAGTCTCAAGTTCTGCAAGTGATTCGAGACACAGTGTAACTTCTTGTCCTGGTTTCTCCCAGGCCTTAGGAGGGTGTGGGCTTTAGCAAAGGTCTGTCTCTGAGTGTCTCACCCACTGAGAACCATCTGGAAACAGGACGAGGCTAGATTAGAACTAGTTACACACTCAATCCCTATGCCACCTTTGCAGAAATACTGGCTTTTATGGGATTCATTTGTCTGTTTACTCAGTCTCACCCTTGTGAAGCTTCTTGATTGGGTTTGCAACTCTAGGGCTGTGGACCTGCTCCTGAAGCAAATCGTACTGGACATGCCTTTAGTCTGGATGACGACCCCACACAGAGCATTGCATTAGAGTATGGGTTGCTGTAAATCATTCTCTCTAATCAATCCTAATTACATAATGCCATAACCCTCAGAAAAGAGTGGAAAGGAGCATGCACCTAGCAACTGGTAGTAAGTGGAAATGGTGTCATCTAGTGGTCAATAGACAAACTGCATGCTGAGCTTCTCCACTCACTCTAGAAGAGTTCAGAGACAACACCTTACCCCTGTATGCAATTTCCCCGTTCTTCCCTCTCCCCAGCTTGCTACCCCCTGCTCTCCTTCGGTCTACACAGATTTGGGTATTCTGCATGCTTTTTATGATGGGGATCATACAGTATGTGACCCTTTCTTACTTAGCGGGCTACATACTTCTGTATGGCTGAGACAGATTCCACTGTATGAACACCCACTTTTGTTCATCTGTCCATCAGTTCATGGGGAATTAAGGTTTTTTTCTTTAAAAAATTATTTATTTTTTTTTAAAATATGGGTGTTTTGCCTGCAAGTATATATGTACTCCATGTGTATGCCTGGTTCTCACAGAAGCCAGAAGAGGGCATCAGAGCCCCTAGAACCGGAGTTATAAAAGATTGTGAGCTGCCATGTGTGTGTTGGGGGCTTGCTTACAGTTTCAAAGGTTTAGTCCATCGTCATGGTGGGAAGCATGATGGCACACGGGCAGACATGGTTCTGGAGAAGTAGCTGAGAGTTTGACCTCTGGATCTGCAGGAAAGAGAGAGAGAGAGACTCTGGGTTTGGAATGGGCTGTTTGAAACCTCAGGGTCTGCCCGGCCCCTGGTGAAATGCTTGCTCTAACAAGGCCACGCCCCCTAGCAAAGAGATTCTCTGTCCTTTTTACAGCTGAATGTATCCCATGGCAAATGTGTACCACATTTTGTTTATCCATTCCTCCCCCATGGGCATTTTGAATTGTTTCCACTTTTTGGCTTTTGTGAACAACTGCGCATTTAATTTTAGTCCTAAGCAATGAACATGCTTGCTTATTGATGATACCATCTTGATTTTCTCAGGTAAAATTGGTACTTGGAATCACTGTACCAGCATATTTGAATTACTGGGGCATGGCTGTGAAATTGGGAAGAGATTAAGGATTTCAAGGGTCTGCCTTTTACTCTCAGTCTAGAGGAAAAATTTCTTCACTAGGAGTCCTTGTATCCGTGTATCCTGTAAGGAAGTGTCTGTCATCAGTTGTCAAAGACTCCAAGGACTTTTTGACTGGAAGATGCCTGGGGGTGGATACAGAAGGCACAGTCAAACAGAGCAGACAGAAATCACACAGCCGTGAGACACAGCAGAGTGTGGGAAGCTCTAGAGTGGAAGTCATAGAAAAAAAACTATGAGCCTGTGTGAACTGTTTGCCAAAGATAAACTCTCAGCCAGAGAGAGTATGGGAGCTGGTGAGATGGTTCAGTGGGCAGCAGCTCTTGTGGCTAAGCCTGATGACCTCAGTCCCTGTAACCACATGATGGACATAACCGACTGCAGTTTTGTCCTTAACCTCCACACCTGTGTCCCTAATAAACAAAAAAAAATATGTCTATTTAGAAAAAGAACATGGCAGCCCATTGCGAGTGGGTTATTAGGAGCTCTGCCCCGTGTATTGTTGAAGGGCAGGATAGCATCCAACCTGTGAGTGGATAATTGCTTCAAGCTTGGGGGTGGCAATCCAGTTTTTGACAGAGGACATTCATAAGGTGAGCCATTGCTGGGTCCCAACTACTCCCACACCCCAGAAGTGACTCCCTCTCTTAAGTGGCATGTGCTCGTATGATGTACCAGTGCTCAGTGACTCATCTTACAGGAAGATGCTCACCAAGACCTTTATTTCCTCTTCTCTCCACTCACTCCCCACCTGGTGTCATCTGCATGGACCCATCTTCCCCGTGCAGGGGAGAACCTGGGATTCTGGGAAGCCTGTGAGGACCTGAAGTATGGAGATCAGTCCAAGGTCAAAGAGAAAGCAGAGGAGATTTACAAGTGAGTTCAGCAGTGTCTTGGGGAAAGCCTCCCTCGTGTGGATGTGGGTACAGTGGCTCTGGGGGTGGGGTCCCACACCCTTGTAGCTGACTGGGCCCTGGCTAGCATCAGCCACTGAACCTGCCATGCCATAAATGATTGTATGTGGTTTGGCAGGTCTGGGGGTTCCTCTGCAGCAAGCCAAGTGAGATGGATGGTAACAGTCTCCTGTTCCCAGGGGATTGTGTCCATGGATGAAATCAAGCCACCCTGAATCACAGTGCAATTTCTCCCCCAAGACAGGGTTTCTTTGTGTGGCTTTGTCTGGCTGTCAAGGAACTCGCTCTGTAGACCAGGCTGGCCTCAAACTCACAGAGATCCACCTGCCTCTGCCTCCAGGTGATGAGATTAAAGGTGTGTACCACCACTGCCCAGAACAGTGTGAATGTTTGTGTTTAACTCTCTCTCTCTCTCTCTCTCTCTCTCTCTCTCTCTCTCTCTCTCTGTGTGTGTGTGTGTGTGTGTGTGTGTGTGTAGTAGATGGGGGGGGGAGACAAGGGATGTATGGGTAATCTATTCCTTAGACAATGAGGAAAAGGGCATCTCCCGTGTGTGAGACAGTGAGCCCAGTTTGGGGTGCAAGTGTGCACAGATCTTATTCCCCACTCCTGGCTCTAGCAACATTTTGTTTCTGTCTAGCCCTGCCCCTCTTCCAAGTCTCCCCAGAGCCCAGGGCGGCTCAGTGTGCTCTCAAGGGTCAGGTGGTTCAGATCTGCTCCCGAGGGCCAGGTGGTGAGGAAGGGGAATTTGTGGAGCGATACAGTCCTACCCTTGTTGGCCTTCATCCTGGAAGCTTGTGTGTGCCCTTGTCCTGCAGTGGTCATTTCCCTAATGGTCCCACCAGTCTAGGGCTCTGAGGGCCCAGTGTTTTTAGTTCCTAGTCACATGCAATGTGGGTTCCCCAGGTTACTCACCACAGGGTGGGAAGCGGCCCCTCAGAGCTCCAGCCTCTGTTGCTGATTGTTAGGCAGCAGGCCAGCGGGGCCTTTCCACCCAAGGGCCCAGCATTGGCTCCTCGGATGTCATTCCTTCTCATGGACTCAGGTTCCCTTTATACTTGTGCGCCTGGGTATGATGGACATTTCTCTCGCTCTCCAGGCTGTTCCTGGCACCAGGTGCAAGACGATGGATCAACATAGATGGCAAAACCATGGACATCACCGTGAAGGGGCTGAGACACCCCCACCGCTACGTGCTGGATGCAGCTCAGACTCATATTTATATGCTCATGAAGAAGGTGGGCAAGCCTGTGCTGGCGCTGCTCGGTGATCAGGGGTGGGCCAGCCTGTGCTGGCGATGCTCGGTGATCAGGGGTGGGCCAGCCTGTGCTGGTGATGCTCGGTGGTCAGGGGACCCCTTCACAGTTGCAAGGAAAGATCTTCAGAGGTGGGAAAGGGGAGGGGTGTAGATACTGCTTTTCGGGACCTGTGAGGTAGTGCTGCCTGCTATTTCATCCTCTTACCAATGGGCTAGACCTTCCTTGAACACCCCCTCCCCCGCCCCCGGCCCTCTGATCTTGGAAATCACCTATGGGCTCCTTGTTCTGTAGTCACGCTGCTGGTAGAACCAGCCGTAGTGTCAGTGACTCCAAGACAGATCAAAATGATCGCTGTGAGATGTTGAAAGCTTATAAGGCACTGTTTAAGTCTCTGTATAAAGCAAGTCCCCCAAAAGGTCCCCGGGGAGGTTCCTCCCGAGCCTGGGCTCACCTAAGGTCTCAGCAGGGATGGCTCCTGCTCTGACCGATCCAGAGGCCTGGAAGATAAACCTTGTGAGAATTCAGGTAGTTCTTGAAATGGTAGCAGAGGGGAAGCTTCCAAGGGATTGTCATGAATTCCTTGGAAGAATTCCTAAGGAGAATCTGAGAGAACATAACTTTCTGAAAAAAACTCCAAGAGATGAATTTTTTTTCATTTCTTTGAGAGTGCGTGTGTGCATATGTGTATGTGCATATGTTGTGCATGTGTGTGTGTGTGTGTGTGTGTGTAGGGTCAGAAGACACCGTTATGGAGTTAGTTCTCTCTTCTACTGTGTGAGTTTTCAAGTCCTCAGACTTGTTGGCAAGTGCCCTTATCCACTGGGCTATCTTCTGGCCTAGATATACCTAATTATTTAAAAAAAAATTTTTTTTAGCTAATTGATTGTGGGTACATGTCTACATTTGTTCTCTCCTTCCACGGTGTGAATTCCTAGGATCAAACTCAGGTCGTCAAGTTTGGTGGCAAGCACCGTTGTTACTAGATGTGCCATCCTGCTGGCCACACAAAAATCCTATGACAGACAAGGCTTTCTTCCAGTTGATTGGCTTCTCATTATGACAGTTATTGCCTGTGGCATGGAACCTCCATTGGCTTTGTTGTGTGCTATACTGGTCACTTCAGACTCATCATCCCTTACTCTCCGCAGACTTCTTCACCCATTCCTCACCAGATAGTTTCCCTGTGATTTTTGACTCTTAAAAAATGTAGTCTGCAGGGGCTGGGGGAGGTAGCTTAGCTGGTGAAGTACCTGCTTGTTCTGCAAGCATGGTGACCTGAGTTCGGTTGGCCAGTACCCACATCAAAAGCTGGGAGACAGAGCCAGGAGGGCCCCCAAGGGCTTGCTGGGCCCCTAGCCAAAGTGAAGGAGCTCCAGGCTGGGCAAGAGACCTGCCTCCAAAGTAAAGGGAATGACCAAGAGAGATACAGTATCGACTACTGCATGTGTGTGCACAGATAAGCACGCACACTAGCCAGGATGAGGCAGAGGCATCTGTCTCCTGAAAAGAATGGCACATGTCTGCATGGGTGAGTCACAGAAGGATGCTGTATGTCTGCAGTGGGCTCTGCGCCTCTCAGAGGCCGTTTTTGGTGGTGACAAGTTCCACATGGCTCGAGGTCCTCACTGTCCCTGTTTCCAGGTTCCATCCCGTTTCTCATAACCATTGCAACTGCCAACTAGTCGTTAGGGTTTAAGAGATCTTCGAGACTGTTCTCCATTGCTGGGCTGCTGTGGTGGGCATTGCCTCATATTAGCTGTGAGTGGAGTTTTCGGCTGCCTGAAAGTACCAGGCAATGGGGGAGGGGGAGGGTAATCTCCCTACCGTGCTCAGATCCTAGGAAACCTTCCCATAAGAGAGGCCTAAGTCTTGGTCCTTTCAACGTTTTGCATTGTATTTATTATCTTGCCTCTCTACCCTAAATACCAGGGAGAAATGGGTGTTAATGGGGTTAACATCTCCCTGAACACACCTTATTCAAGGAAACAAATTTCCCTTAACTTTGCTGTCCAGGAGAAAGAGCTCAGAAGTGGTGAGCATATTCTACTCCAATACATCCCCCCTCTCCCTGACTCATAACCACTGTTTCCTCTTGTTCCCACCAGGATTCTTACGCTCGCTATTTAAAATCTCCGATCTATAAAGAAATGCTGGCCAAAGCCATCGAACCGCAGGGAACCACCAAGAGAAGGCAAGTGAAGTGTCTTTAATCGCTGGCAGCCACTGTTTACTTTAGAGACTGAAGGCCCCTTGAAGCCAAATGGCTGGCGTGGAGATTTGGTTGATGACATTTTTGGGGCTGGAAAGTGTTGTGCAAGCAAAGGAGGGCCTCATTTGCTTAGAGATGCCCTCCAGCAAGATTCCCTTAGTAATTGCCTCCAGTAAGTTTTGCTTCCCTGATTCCGGATCTAAGGGCCCTAATTATCAGACCGATAATTGTGAGTGTTGCAAATGGAGATGTCTCACTGTTTGTTTTAAATCACCCTACCTCCCTAACTCCAAACTGATGAATAGAATTAATTAAGGTAAATCTTTGTATCTCTATTGTTGCAAGACCTGAGAGAGAGAGAGAGAGAGAGAGAGAGAGAGAGAGAGAAAGTGGGGGGAGGGAAGGGAGGCTAAGTGCACACCAAGAGAAAGTGAGAGATGGTTGGGAGATGCAAACAGTAACACCCCAACTGTTATTGGCACCTCTGGGGACTGCTTTTTAGAAGTCCATTAACTAGTTGGAGATTTCTATCACCTCGTCTTACAGGGACACTGGGACAATGGATGATGTCATACTCCAATGAACAAATTGAACTCTTTTTTTTATTTTTTAACATTTTTTTTCCAGGGGTGAGGGAAGAGGTGGACTGACACCAATTATTTAAAGATTTAAAAGACTAAGAAATAACAGTTTGAACAAAGCTGTGAAATTCTGGCAGAGGTTTTATTTCAAAACCCACATGGCCCTGTGCCCCTGTGTTTAGTAAACGTTCCCATTTGTTCAGCCAATGCTGCACCATCTTCAGTCAATTCTAAAGGGGGGGGGCATCCTTTATCGCAGGAGCTAATGAGAGAATATGCCACCTTGTCCTTGAGGACAGCAGCCCTGTGAGAGGGAGGAAGGAAGGCTGCGGCACTGTGCTAGGGCTACGTAGAAAGGGAGTCGAGTGGCCCCGGGAACTGCAATAAAGGGCCACAATAAACCCAGAACTTCTGTCAGAAAGCATCTGGGGTGGGGTAAGGGATAGATTGTCTCACACTTCTGTCCTGACGTGGCATGGCATGTCCCAGGCATGGGGTTTCCGAGAGGATCCTTCTTGGACACCGAGTGCCTTGGATGACAGAGACCTCTGCTGGAGTACTTGACTTTGGGAAGGGGCGAATGCTCGCACAGAGTGACACTTGACTTGTACCCAGGAGGGGGTACAGTGGGAAGGAACCCATTCCATGTCTCACAGGTCTAAGAAAATCTATTAAAAATTAAGGCACAAACCTCCCCTTTGGCAGAAGTGGTGGCATTAGCTGGTGCTGAGTTTTTGATTGATTGATTTTTGATTTTTTTTGTAAGAGAGCATCCTGCTTCTCTGGTGTAGAGACAAGGGCTCTGGGGACCCACACAGTTCAGAAATTAGGGGTAGTCCTCAGTCTTTAGTCTGTTGTTGCTTCATAAATGCTAGCTCCCCAAATCTATGTACCCCTGCCCCCGAGGCTGTATGTCTCAGCTCCATCCCCTAAGCCCTTCAAACCTTGTCCTGACTCCTAGGGTGTGGTAGTCAGTTTGGTCACGGGAATCCATGTTTGGCTTTGGAGTAAGTTTCTAACTCATCCTGAGATAGGGTATACGAGAAGAGTGGCTGTAGCCCACTAACCCTCTGAGGAAACTTCTGGGGCCCTCTGGGACAGCTCAGTGTTCTTTATGTGTGAGTATGTGTATGTGTGTGCATGCGTGCATGCGTGTGTGCATGTGTGCGGGTGTGTGTATGGATACGTATGTGAAGGCCAGAGGAGGACAACCTTATGTTATTTCACCCCACTACATCCTGGATTTTTTTTTTTTTTTTTTTGATAAGACCTCTCACTGGCTTGGAGCTACTCAAGTAGGTCAGGCTGGATGGCCAGCACCCCGGTGCTCCACAGTCTCTCTCTTCCCAGCACTGGGATTACAAACCTGCACCTGCACCACCATACTGGGTTTTTGACATGGGTTCTGGGAATCAAGTTCTGGTCAATGTGCTGTCAAGTGAACTATCTCCACATCCTCACACCTTGTCTTCTTAAACAAATTCTCTGAGTCCTGACTCTTACTCAAGACTCAAACTCTCTGGGACCCATCATCCAACCCATGTCCTCATCATCCAACCCATGTACCCATCATCATCCGACCTCACTGACCCCGCTGAGGCCATCATCATCCAACCTCACTGAGCCAATCATCCAACCCCATATGCCCTTTTCTTTGAAGATCTTGTGGAGATAACATGGAGATAGATCCTAAAGATCTTTTATTGAGTTCTAGACACTGTAGATGGTGTGTCTGTCATTGTTGCCATCAAAGAATCTTTCTAGGACCTCACCTGAAATTTGGTGGCAGTTGTATTCACTATGGTCCCATTCTCCATATGGGGAAAAGAACTAAGGTTGGACATGGTTCTGAAAGTCCTCTCTGCAGTTTACTGGCAAAATGGGAGACATGTCCCAATTCTGACCTCCTAGCCCCAACCTCCTCCAGGCATGTCAGTGTCACCTGGCATATTAGTATCATCAGGCATGTCGATGTCACCAGGCATGACAGGGTTACCAGGCAAGCCATTTGATTCTCTTCCAACCACTCATCTATCTTTTCTTGTAGTTCTACCCTCCCATTTATGAGGCGTCATCTGCGCTCCAGCCCAAGCCCCGTCATCCTGAGGCAGCTGGAAGAGGAAGAGAAAGCTCGAGAAGCGGCCAACACAGTGGACATCACCCAGGTCATGAGCAAGCTGGACCGCAGGAGCCAACTCAAAAAGGAGCTGCCTCCTCCTAAATGAATTTCTGAATCTGGGGTGGGGGTGTGTGTGTGTGTGTGTGTGTGTGTGTGTATGCGCACGCGCATGTGCGCACACATGGGGCAGGCAACGACATCCCGCAGAAGGATTAGTGTCTAGAAGGTTCATTGTCCATCAGCACAATGTAGGGTTCAAAGTGAACCTTCTAGGTCAGGAGTTACAGGGCTTTGTCTTCCTACTCCAAGTCACCAAGGAGCAGGGCTGGTGATGACAGGGAGTTGTCACACGAGTGAGTAGCAGCACCCGCCAACATTGCTTTAGGGAACTTGTGCTGAGATGCATAGGAGAAAGAGGTTACATTGTGTGCCACCTTATCAAAAACTGACCGTCCACCTTCCAAGGCGACTGCCCTGAGGAGTATTTGTTTAGAATAGCTTTGTGAATCTTCTCACCCCATCTCTCCAATTCAGATGCCACTTCCAAAATAACTTGAGATCCCTCCACAGGGCTCTTCTAAGTCCCATCCCTGGTCTCCCCTGTTACACCTGCCCAGAAAGGCATTGCTGGGATGTTTCCTAGTGGGCTTGTTCTTAGCTATGTCTTTTCTATTTTCCCATTCCCTTGTGCATAATGTTTTGACAAATAGCTTATAGGAATGAAAGACTCAGTCCAGAGGAGGTAAGGAGAGATGTCCTGCTGAGGATGTCATCTCTTTGGTTAAAGAACAAAGACACTGATGCTTGGGTAACAGACTTTGGAGCTACCTTTCTCTATCACTATAGACTAGGCTGTCTCAGTGTTCAGGGGAGAGGACAACTCAATCCATGACTTTGAAGCTCACAAGGTTATCTTGAAAATAAATAACCCCATATACCTGTATGCAAAAGAGAAAAAGGCCGGTGTAAGAGACCGATCTTCTAAATCAGGAATACACATGCATTCCACACATGTATTGAGTACCTTCTATGTGCAGGGCATAGATGAACAAAATGACATTGTTCTTCTCTAATAGAACTTGTGGTCTAGGACCTGACAAAAGCTTTGGTGGTATGGCACCAGGCCACAAACTAGAGTGACGTGCAATAGTACGCCTTTATTGTTACTAAATGGGATCATTTTAGTAGCTGTTGTTTTTGGCTTGCTTGTCTCCCATGTCTGGGGTTTGGCTTACAGGAGCTTGGGCTGGGAAAATTGGACATGTCTACCCTGCTTCATGTATCTTCTGTCTTCCAGCAGCTCTGCCTAGGCATGGTCTTAGGGCAGTGGCAGAATTGCAAGGGACAAAATAGAAATGCAGACGGCTTCCCATGGTCTCAGTCATCTTTTCTTGGCCAGAGAAAGTCAGAGAATCCTCCTAGGTTAAAGGAGTGAAGAATCAGGGCTAGGAATGCAGACCAGTGAGTAGAGTAGAGCATGCCTTGCATGCATGAGGTCATAGGTTCAATCCTCACCACCACATAAAACCAAACATGGTGATGTACACCTGTGATCCTAGACCTTGGGAGGTGAAGGCAGGAGTATTGTGAGTTCAAGGTCCTGCTTACATACATAATGAATTGGAGGCTAGCATAAGTCTCCATGTGTGTTCATGAGGGGAGAAGGAGGAGAAGGGAAATAGACTCTATTCTTTTTAGTAAAATTATATCAGAGTCCCACTGAAAAATATATGGATACAGGGAAGGGTATGGAATTGAGTTCATTGTAGTAATTGTTAATCAAAATTATGGTAAAATCTGTTGAATAAGTTATAAAGGAAATGGGTATGATGCCATGATAAGGAAGATGTGTTCTGTGTAGGCTTAGACCTCTTGGAAGCAGTGGCAGAGGAACAGAGGATGAGAAAGATTTGTCACAGGATGTAGACCAAGCAAGGAGAATGTCCCACAGAGAGAGGAACTCTAAGGACAAAGCCCCAAAGGTGGGAAATGGTCTGGAGTGAACTGAAAAGCCAGGTGGCTGGAGCCTGGTGGATGAGGAAATGGTACAAGACAAGGTGAGCGAGGTGGGCAGGGCCAGGTCACTGAAGACTATCTAAGCCAATATAAGTAGCTTGTGGTCATTGGTTTCATTCTAGCAAGATAATCCCAACTCCATAGGGGATAGACACTTCCAGATTTCACCAGTTACCCTGGGATAGCACCAGGGATGTGCTTTTTAAATTTTTCTGTTGAAGAATTTTGGAGTCCCAGGGCAGAAGCTTCAGGTAATGAACCTTTATAAATGGAGTGACATGAGGGGAAGGGCAAAATCTAGCTTCCCTCTTGGACTGCCCAAGACTTAGAAGTTCTATACATGTGTGTTACATGACTGCATGAATAAACACGTGAAGAATGAGTGAGTAAATGAATGAATGGAAAGAACTTTGGGTTCCGAGGAAGCCTTTTGGGCCCGGGTCCAGTTCTAACACAAGCCATGTAGTCTTGAGCAACCCACAGGCCAGCTCTGCTTAGTCATTTGTGAAAAGAGAGCCTGTTACAAGATCAGTTCCAGAACTGGGATGCCAATTTTACTTGAATATTTAGAATAGGAGGAGATTAAGGTAATTTTAAAAAATTTACATTAAAACAACCATAAATATATTATGAAATGGAATGCAAAATGCACATGAATTTTTAAGGTTAACGTTGGAGACATCAAAGTCATTTCATGCTCGGCTGTGCAGGTTCATGCATGGCCCTCCTAAGTCTCCTGGGGGATGTGTGTTTACCCAGCTCCCCCGCTATTTGGCCTACTTTGGCAGAAAGTTTGAGACACATGGAACCAGAGAATATTTGCTGTCCCTTCTAATCACTCCATGCATGCTGAGGTCATGCCAGCAGCGTGGTGGCTAGAGTGGTAGAACCACAGAGTTCATCAGTGCTTAGGTCCTGTTCATTTTTGGTCTATCCATGTGCTGCCCCACTCCCCAGGCTTGGCTTGTCAAGGCTCTCATTCTCTGGAAGACTGCAGTATGCTGTTTCAGGTTCTTTACCACATATGTAGGAATCTACTCATGTCTACTGTCATCATCATCGCTATCACCATCATCACCAGCCACCATTATCATCATCCCCATCATCATCACATCCTAATCACCATCATGTGGTCATCTTTACCACTATCATCGGTACCCTTTCCATCATCACTACAGATTATCATCATCTTAACCATTACCATCAGCATCATCTCCATCCCCATCATCATCTCCACCATCACTGCTGTCATTGTTACCATCATCGCCATCCTGTCATCATCCCCATTGCCAACACTATAGCAGTCCTTATTCCTGCCACCATACCATTGTACTCACCACCGGAATCAACACTAACATCACCTCTACCAGCACCATAACCATTACTTTTACCATCACCATGATCATCACCACCATTACCATTAGACTCCCTAGACACGTCATGGTCTTCAAGTGTCTTGCTTTGTTCCGTCAGTGTTGTTCAACACAGTCACCCATTATTCTTTCTTGTTCAGATACTACCCTAGGAACATTTAAATCATTATTGTCCTAGACCATCTCACTTCTCTACTATCGCAGCATCCTCTGCACTCTCTAGACAGCAATGGGTTATATTTGAGGTATAAAGTATGTCTCTGTATCCTCTAGCTTCTAAGAGAAGGCTATATTAGTAACAGGGTAGTAATCAGCAGATCTGTGGCCCCATGTTTTATGACCGAAGTGAGGGTTAGTTCCAGCTAGGAAGGTCTTATGCGAGACTGTGCTCAGTGGGATGACTAACCAGAGAAATGATGTTCTCAGCTAAGCTGAGTTTTCATTATGACACCAACTTTACTTGCTTTTGGAGAAGAGGGGAAGGGTCTGGGTCCTTGAATGATGAATGCGACCACAGGTCTTTGATTTCCCAGCCAGTTTCTGATGGAACAAAAGTGAGCTGAGATGCTGCACTGTCTGCTTTGCTTTCCATTACAAGCCCTGTGGTTGTGTCTCCCTGTTGATGTACCCACCGCCTCATTTCACGCTCCTGCCCTACCTCTCTGGCTCCCTTGCACAATAAAATACACTGCTCACAACAAATCTGAATCAAGTTCTACTCATCTGTCTCCTGTCGCATTTCTTCACCACGTGTCTTGCATGCCACTTGCTTTGCTGTTCATGTCATTGGTATAGGGCTGGGTTGCAGAGCACAAGCCCAGGCCTGCATGGTAGGAACAGAGTGTGAACTCCTGTGGTTTCATTGTGAGAAAGAGCTAGAAAAACAAAAAGTGAAAGCCAAACCAAACCATTCACCCAGAAAGGACCTTCGTGGGCCAGGTAAGTGAAGAAGGGAGGGAAGGCAGTGGCCACCTTGCACCATTCATCCCGGAAAGGAAACGGTTCTGGGAAAGGAATGGGGTGGGAAAAAGTGGGGAGGGGAAGAGGAGGATAAAGGGACAGTCAAGCCATATTGTCTTGGTTAAGTCTTTTGTTCTCCAGGGTCCTCAAACTTCTTATCTCAAAGGTGGGGTGAACTCAGGAGTTTGTGACACTTTCCAAGGCAGTGAGGTTCAAGTGAACTCAGTAGGAACCTCACTGATATCCCCCGACTCTCTCCTGTTATGAGTAGGTTTTTTTCCCCTGCCTGGTCCCACCACCACACCAGCCCCAATTAACACACAGAGACACTGTATTAGATATAATGCTGTTGGCCTGTTACTAGTTTCTTATCAGCTAGCTCTGTCTTAAATATTAACCCATTTCAATTAATCAAAGTATTTCCATGTGGTCTTATCTTACTGGAGAGAGGGGCTGGTGTTCTCTCTCCATCCTCCATCTTGGATCTCCTCCCTACTACTTCCTCTCTCCTCCTCATCTCCTAGTCCCACCTATCTTGCTTTCCTATTGGCCAACAGTGCCTTATTCATTAACCAATAAGAGAAACATATTTACAGAATGACATCTCCCATTACTCCAGCTTATTTCCTCATTCAGATACTTTTATTCCATTTCCCAGGACATGGAAGCCACACGGGCAATAGGACGGTGACGCATGTTGTTAGGAGCAGCAGGGGCATTTGGGTCACACATCTAGGCGTGGAGGAGCATTTAGTCATCGTCTTAATTTTCTATTGCTGTGTGACAAATGAGCTTGTCCCTCTCAGTGGTCCTTGACTGTGCTGCACTTTACACTGGGACAGGATTGCTTGAGTGACCTGAGCCTAAGCCTCACTCTGAAGTCAGTGGCCTCCTGCCCGGGGCTCAGGCAGCCTCCTTCAGTCTTAGAGTCTGAAGGATGACCGGGGCCCTCTGAGTAAGGCATCCATGTGGCTGTTTCAGAGAAGGCTGGTTCCTCATTGTAGCCCTTCTAGTCCTCTCTGGGAATCAGTAGTGGCTCAGCTGTCCCTAAGACACCACCCACTTCTTCTCAGAACTTCTGTCCATACCCAGCTTTCATGTCCTATATGACCATAGCAGGCCTTCGGGAGGGACACCCAGAAGCCACACCAGTTGACCCCTGTGGCCTGCAAAGGAAGGGGTAACAGTGAAGACCCTGAGTGGAACTCAGCTTTAGTTTCCTGCTCAACTTGGGCAATACCAGCCCCTCCCCATTCCTCCCCAAACACACTGGGGCCACGGTGGCCAGGGCAATGAGATGCTTCTTTTTCTTTGTGGGATCACAGAGTCACCTCTTCCTCTAGAATCATCTGTCTCTTTACTGCAAATTTGACACTCAGCCTTATTGTGTTCTCCCAGCGTCCCTTGCCTAGCATGGGGGTAGGCCTGGGCAGGTCCTAGGATTTGAGGCCCTAGAATGTTCTCAGGGCGGACACAGGTGGGGGGTGTGGCCTCAAGCATGGAGGCTCAGCAGGGCACCAGTTGCAGGGCTCCCCGGTTGCACTACTGTGTTAAAGTGAAGCTGTTACATGCCTTTCAGGTGGGTATGTGGCTCAGTGGTGAAACACTTGCCTAGCATGGGCAAAATCATGAGTTAGATTCCCAGCGAAGTGCGCACGCATGCGCATACACACACACACACCATACAGCAACAAAACAGTGTCTAAAGCTGTGGTCAACAGTGATGGAGAGATGACATGGGGTGTGAAAGACACAAGGCATTATTCATTTGGAGACTTGAGTTGAGGGGTAACCAGGTTCACCATGGTTATACTCTAGCATCCCAGGACTGGAAGTTCAGCTTGTGACAGATGAGTCCTGGCAGGAGGCCTTTGAATGGCTATGTCAGTATCACAGGTATCTCAGGGTAGGCTTTTATATCAATCCTGCCAGAAGGCTACCACAACAGATCTGCACCATTGCCATTGGAAGGAGATCCAACTAGCTGAGCATGGCTTGTCAGCCCTGGTGGCTGGAGACATGACCCTCACTGAACCTTCCTTTTTTCCTTCTCCACAGTCAGGTCAGCACTTGGCTCCCAGCCCTCACCTGGCCGTGTACACAGGGACCTGCGTGCCTCCCTCTCCTTCCAGCCCTTTCTCCCCATCCTGTCGTTCCCCCAGGAGGCCCTTTCCCTCACCAAGTCGCTTCATCCGGCGGCCCAGCATCGCCATCTGCCCCTCTCCCATCCGAGTGGCCTTGGAGAGTTCTTCAGGCCTGGAGCCCAAGGGGGAAACCAGCTGGTCTGGTGCCAACTGTGGGCCCTCAGTCACTGAGAGCAGTGAGACCTCTGTGGACCAGACAAGACCACATGGCCAACCCAGGGCTCCTCCCAAGGCCCGTGTGGCTCTGTCCCTTGGAAGGTTTCTGAGACGGGGCTGTTTGGCATCCCCGGTTTTTGCCAGACTCTCACCCAAGTGCCCCGCTGTTTCACACGGGAAGGTGCAGCCTCTGGGGGACATGGGCCAACAGCTGCCCAGGCTGAAACCCAAGAAAGTGGCCAAGTAAGAAGCTGAAGGGGCTGGAGTTGTTTGCATGTGGACAGTGGGCCTGGGCGTGGACAGTGGGTGTGGGCGTGGCTTCATGGTGTTGATAGAGCCACGGGATTGTGGAGATCAGACACATCTCTAAGTCACCTAATGCCCCCAGAAGCTCAGTCCCATCAACTCTCCCTCTTCCAGAGGTGGTAAAAGGGCAGCTTCCCTCTCTGTGCATTCTCGTCCACATACTGTCCTGTCCCAAGACTGTTAGGTCAATTCACTGTATCTGTAAAGGGTCTCAGCAGTAACCACAGGCCATGATGTCTCTAAGATTCCCAGGGACTCTCACCCTTCTCCATCACAAATCTTTAGTGTCTTGGCCTCCTTGGTCCTCACAGACAGATGCCTGCCTGCTATCCTAAAGGACCTCAAAAAGATACTTGTTCCTGTGGAGGTCTGAGATAAGGAGTATCAACTCCCACCGAGCTACAGTAGCTCCTCTAAATTCTATTTTGGGCAGCTCTAACAGTCTGAAATCTGAGAACCCCAAGTGCCCTGAGGCTGCCACTATGTGCAGAGCCAGTGCCCAAGAGTGCCTGGATTCACAGCAGAGAGCCACCTTGAAGCTTCGTCTTTCCTGGGGTTTGGAGGGGACAGTCAGGGTCACCCCCAAACACGTTGACACAGTCCTACATTTGACCCTGTCTGGTCTTGGAGAAAGATATGCCAGGCAGAAGTCTTAGACTGCTGTGACACCCAGAGAGTGTGGCCTCTTCAGTGCAGTGAGTGTGGGGACAGCGGGGAGCACTGACTACTGTTCCCTTCTGGTCTGTGTGACTTGGAGGAGGAGGAGGGGGAGGAGGAGGAAGAGGAGGGGGAGGAGGAGAAAGAGGAACATGAGGAGGAGGAGGAGGGGGAAGTGGGGGAGGGGGAGGTATGCAGCTCTGTTGCTTTCAGAAATGATGAGGGTCTGATGTGAGTCTGTTGATTCTCCTCAGCTGGCTCTGCTGAGAGAAAGTTCTGGCTCTGTGGCCACTGCCCCACTTCAAGTGTGGGGATGGGATGGGACTTTTATAACGTCGCCTTTCCAGTCTCCTCAAGAGACAGAAAAATATAGGTCCCATGGCTGCACCTGTCACCCTGGGCCAGTGTCCCCTGGCATGCTAGTCTTTGGGACTGTTGGGATCATGTGGAGATTACTCACCCTCCCTCTCTCTTCACTTGCTTTTGTGTTCCCAGCTTTTTCCAGATCAAAATGGAAATGCCTACTGACAGTGGGCCTTGCCTGATGGATTCTGATGACACCGGGGCTGGAGAGTCTGGTGACCAGACTACGGAAAAGGAAGTCATCTGTCCTTGGGAGAGCCTGGCTGAGGGGAAGGCAGGCTGAGCAGGGCCTTGGGCTGGGAAGACCATCAGGCCTGGGCACACTTGCTTCCAAACCCAAGTGCATTAGAATGATGGTGGAGAACTGGAAAGTGTGGATGGGGTGGAGTGCAGAGATGCGTGCCCTGACTGACTCCCAGTGGTCACCTTTCTCCTTCCCTGACTTTCCCTTGCTTGGCCAGAAAGGCATGTGGGCCAGAAGCCATCCCTTGCTGCCTTAAAACCAATAAAAGGGTCATTTGGAAGATTTTCTTGGATTGAGATACTGGCATAGGCCTGGGTTTATTACTATTCACAACCTGTAACTTGTAGGTTAAACACCTGTCTTTGGTTTTGTGGGTAAGGGGACACTGAGGCACTTCAAAGAGTTTCCTCTCTGTCTGAACTGGGTTGGACACAACTATTTAATTGATCAAAGTCAATGGTAGTCCCCAAGGGTGGCATTGCACAGAAAGGGCAATAGACTAGGGAAAGGGTCTCTTGGAACATTGGATTCCTTAAGACAGGGCTTGCTTAGAGAGGATAAAGCAGACATGGCAAAACCTTCCTCCCTTCCTTCCTTCCTTCCTTCCTTCCTTCCTTCCTTCCTTCCTTCCACTTTTAAAATTATGTGTATGTAGTTGGAACTCTGTGTGAATATGTGCAAACGTGAGTGCACATGCCTGCAGAGTCCAGAAGAGGGAGTTGGATCTCTTGTATCTGGAGTAATAGGTGTTGGTGGGCTGCCTCACATGGGTGCTGGCAACCAAACTTGGGTCCTCTGGAAGAGCAGCAAGGCCTTTTACTGCTGAGCTGTCTCCCCAGCCTGTAATTGCTACCCTTGTTATTGTGGCAAAACACCCGCCCAAAGAAACTTAAGGCTAGGTTTATTTTGCTTCACAATTTGTGGATGCAGCTGGTCATGGTGGAGAGATCTTGGTGGCAGGAGGTTAAGGTAGCTGGTCAAGTCGTATCTCTAGCCAGGAAACAGAGCAGAGAATGCTGGGTGGTAGGACTCAGCTCGTGTTCTTTTTGCGAGTTAGTTCAGGACCCCAAACTATGGGGTAGTATTGCCCATGAGCTTCCTTGTTCAGTTAAACTTTTATTTAATGTAAACTCTCATGGACACACCCAGAGGAGTCTTTTCCATCAAGTGGACATTGCAAGTTAGCCATCACAGAATGGGATTCGGGAGAGAACGGAAGGGCTACTGGCCCTGATGCAGGGGCAGGTCAATTTCAAGAATGTTTTGGACCGGGTATCTGTAGGACATCCTTGAGTCAAAGTGATTGTCAGAGAAGTCATATAGGGCCTGAGAATGGTCCTACATCAGCCCTCAGCTGTACATGGCCATTGGCTGGAAACTGCAGAGTTGTTGGAGGGTCCTGGGCTACAGCAACCAGGTCTTGCTATCCACTCCTTGCAGTAGGAGTATGAAACACTCAGTTTTTCTCTTCTACTGCACCAGGCTGGAGGTGTGGATCTTAGTATGCTCTGCCCACCTTTCACTCCAGATACTTGCTCTACAGGTACTTATTAACTGAGTCCTTATTAGGTGCCCTGTACCATGCCAACTCCATGGGCTCACCTAATGGTTCTCAACCAGGTAAGTTTTGTCCCCCATGGGATGTCGGACAGTGCCTAGAAACAATTTCAAAGGTCAAGGTTGGGGTGGGGAGTGACTATTGCTACCGGCAGCTCATAAGCAAGGACCAGGGATGCTTCTTAATACCCCACAATGCTCAGTACTCACAACAAAAGACTATCTGTCCAAAATGTCAGGGCCATCACTACTGAGAAATTTTGGTTCTTATTGGAAGTGTGAAGGGGCCACCACAACACAATCTCTTTGTCTCTCTTCCCAATGTGTCTGTATTGAATACATCTCCTTTTTCTGATTTTCACCAAAAAAAAAAAAAGAAAAAAAGAAAAAAAAGAAAAAGAAAATGAAAGGACAGAAGAAACAAACAAACAAGCTTGGGAGTACAGGCTATACCTTGTCTTTGGTCTCTGCCAACCCCGAAGAAGTTTTGTTCCCCAGGGTCCTCCAGGGATTGTGCTTGGTTCCAACAATGGACAGAGACTAAGAGCAAAATGCTGAATAGAACAGCTCTTGATCTCACATAGAAAGTCCTTGAAGGAGACTCGTTATGTTGCTTCCTTTTAACCCTCAAGTGTATCAGAATTCAACTAGTAAATAAGCATCCCTGACTTGCGTTTAGACTCCGACAGCTTATCATACATAGGACATAAATACTGGGCCTGCTCAGTAATTTCCCCATGCATGCATGTCTAAAAATGAATATTGGGCAGGTGTGCGAGCAAAATTTTGGCTTGCCAATCCTTGCAGGTCAACCGTTAATTAATGCAGCATCTCTTCAGGAGTATAGCTCATTTTAGATTCTACTAAAGGGGGCACATCTACTGTCATTGAGATAGTCTGGGTGTCCCTTTGAAGGTAAAGGGGGTGAGGGCTGGTTATTTTGATGCCTTTATTTGCAGGGTTACCTTAAAATGAGATTGTAGGTGATGCCAATCTGGACCTGTAATCTACCACCAGTCAGAGTGTCCAGAAACAAGGGAAATCTTGAGGACAAAGGATGGAGAGAGAGAGGTCTGTTCTTCTCAGAGGGACAGTGAGAATGACCTCTATACTGTACTCTGCTGTCTTTGCTCTCTCTTGCCAGAACCCTTGCAGTCAGCTGTAGAGGGGAATCATGTGGAGAAGCCTCTGGGCTTTGGTCCAGCCTTGACAGGGTTCCTTATCACCAGGATGTAGAGTATCTGGGAAGAGACTCCATCCTTGGTGGATGAGGGCTGAGAGCTGGAAAATCTCCAGCAGAAAGAAAACATCACCTTCTTTCCCCAGTAGCAGCCCAGCCTTGGAGAGATGGGTAGTGTTTCTTTGTGTCCAGCCTGAATGCCTTGGACTGACAGCCAACAGAGTCTCATTCATGGGTGACTTCCCAGCCTGAGGCCTTTATGAGTTCTCCTATTTAGAAGGGAAGCTGGGGGACTGGGACAGCATTGGGCAGTAAGAGTGGAAAAAACATGCTTTTCAGCTGATGGGAGGGGCTCCCCGTATAAGAGAGGGTTGGGGAGCTCCAGTTTATTCTGTTCTTTGAGAGGAGAATTCGTCAAGCCCCTACACAGGGGACATTTGTGTACGTAGGCTCCCTTGTCTGTGCACACATGGAGTGCCGGTGGCTCTCACGTGTGGGAGGCTGAGGCTGTGGACCTGGCTGGCACTGGCTTCAGCAGCGACACTGTGCAGACGTCAAGGCAACAGTAAAAGGAGAAGATTCACATGCACTGCAGAGAGATCTGACAACAGTAACTGGGTGGTGAAGCTGGGGACCTAGATGCACTTGGCGAGCATGAGCTAGAAGTCTGAGAAACTCAGTGACGACATGGTAGATGAGGCAGCTGAGATGCCCTGGGATTCAGCTGATGTGACCATGTCATTACGTGGTCCAGTCCTGGGCAAATGACAGCAGCTGTCTACCTACTGACTTCTACTCCCTCATCTCTACCTGTAGGTAATTACCAAGAAGTCTTGTCCTGAAGGACTTGGTCTCGGAGAGTTAGGGAGTTGACCACACAGCTTGCAGGCTCATTGAAAGAGGCCCTCATGAATTCCCATGCACATGCATTTATTTCTTACTATAGCGTGGGTAACAGCATCAGTGCCCTTATGTCACAGACATGACCTCTCTACTCATCAGTAGCAAGAATCCTTCAGTAGAAGTTTACAACTGCCTGTAACTCCAGCTCCAGGGGATCCAATACCCTCTTCTGACTTCTGAGGGTACTTACACACACACACAGAGGATGGGGAGAGAAACAAAAATAAAAACAAATATTTTAAAAATTTCTTAAGTTGAGCGTGTTGGTATGGCAGAAAAAGAGGGTGGAAAGTGAGGGTAAAATTCTCACTTAAAAGAAACAAAATTGGAAACCCCTCCACCCAAGACTGGCATGTAACAGAGCATGTGCAGAAATAGCTAGAACACTATACAAAAGACCCATAAAGCTCACAGTCTGAGAGGCAGGAATGTTACTGAGCTTTGAACTTTCTCTTTCAGCTTTAACCCATTCCCTTCACTGGAAGCACCCTTTTCTACTGAGCCTCCATCCATGTGAGCACCCATGTGAGCCAGCCAGTGCTATGCGGCAAGACACTAAAAAACTAAAATAAAATTCCTGAAAGTGATTGTAGTGAGCCATGAGCCATACTGGGTTAGGGTGGGTCATTGGACCAAGGCCTAGAGTTTTGTTGGGAGGGAAGAAGACAGAGACACACAGTGGCCAGGAGGCTGTGAACAACGGACTCTTTGATTTCTCTCATCTTCTAGAATAACCTCCTGTTGTTTTATGCCATCTCCTATGTGGCACTTCTGTAGGGCACTTCCGGGAAATGAATGCAGGATTCACTTAGCACCAATTCATTGTCCTCCCGAAGGCAAATGCTGAGTTGTTCCCAAGTTTTCATGAAAGCTAATGATGCTGCAGTGAGCATCTCTGTGTATGCTTCTGTGTCTTCCCGGGACAGAAACTAAAAAGAAGGATCAGGAGATCACAAAAGTCCTGCCTATTTTTAACAGATCCACCACAACAAATTGCCTCTTTGGAAATCTATACTAATTAACATGCTCCCAGTGACAGATGTGAGGGTAATTGTTATCTTACATCTTGGCCAGGACTGTCGCTATCACAGAGACAATGTGCCAGCATCTACTGTTGCACTCAAAATCCTGGGGTTGGGTATGTCCCCCTAGAAGTCAATAATGCTAGGGGCCTGGTCTCCCTGTCAATTCCTAGCCTTAGGAGGACACATAGAGTGCAGAGGACCAGAGAGACTTCTGGTCATGTGACTCCCTACCTAACCTCTGGACCCTGCATTAGTTCTTCTTTGTTATGATAAGATACCCTGACAGAAAGCAACTTGGGGGTTGGGGTGAGGTGTTATTTGGTTTTACAGAGTCCATCATGGAGGGAAGCTGTAACAACAGGCCGGGCAAGGTAGGGCAGCAGGAGCAGGAAGCTGGCTGATG